CGTTATTTATTTACGGTATTGTTTACAGGTTCATCTTGCAGAAGAAATCTCAATATTATTCCTGACTTTTTGTAATATTTCCTCTGGGGGTATGAACCAATATTTTCTCATTTCGGAAAGAAGCGAGGTAGCCCGACCAAAAGGAACAAAACGACCATTGTTATTCTAATTACCGTGTATATTAATATCTAGTTAACGTTTGTATATATTTTTTTTCTTGTATTCATTTACGTGTTTACAATGGTATGACAAAATTGATCTAAACCTTACAAGCTGGAAATTTACCAATCCATGTCAAAGAAGGTTGTAATCTGGGTTCACAGTCACGTCTGCATAAATTATCATATAATCATAATTTTTTGATGAAAACAATAAAAATGATAAGTTCGTCATCAATTTTTAAAAAAGTAGGAATTTATTGTCAGTTAATACAGTTAATATAAATAAATTTATTCTCAACCCTACGATCGAATTGCTGCAGGCGTCGTAGGGATGATTTTATTAAGGCGATAAATCTCGTGCGCGTGTTATTTGATATGTTAATATGATTAATATGATCAAATTAGACGGAAGAGATGTTAAGTGGGTAGAGGGTACAAAGAAAGGGAAAAAAATTAAAAGAAGTTTATTGCGTCAAGTCCCACAATAGCTCATAAAAGGAAAGTAAGGGAGTTTCTAAAGCCGGTTGACTTTTCATGTGACAAATAGCTCTAAGAAAGATTTATACACCATCTGCCCGGACAACTGTCTCTGCGCATAGCCGCTACTGGGTAATGTGAATTAATAGATGTTCGCCTAGGAAAGGGTTCGAGGTGATCCCCACAAATGCTAGATGAATATTAATGTTGATGTTGGGGGAAGGGGTTTTCGCCCTTAATAGAACGTAATTTCTAACGACCCGGTCACTCGCGCGATTGCCAACGACGCCGGTGTGTTGAAATCCGTCCATCGATCTCTTTATGTGCCACGTGCCAAAAACGACTGAAAAGTCATTCATATCAACATCCATTCAGACATTTTGATTTGACGTTAATGTTGTATTGATAAAGCTGTCGGAACCAACTAAGAAAAATTATTACCTATAAAGACTTAAGTAGGTTAAGTGTACACGTCAGAACTATAAATCTTCCCGTACTTTAGTGTTTGTTGCTTATTTTACCAATTCCACTGGAAGAAAATTCAACGAGACTTAATACATTTATGATTATTATTTGAGGAACTCAACCAATAAACAAACAAAATAAAATACTAATAAATAAAATATTCCATTATACTAAGAACAAAAAGGGAAACGGAGGAGGAATAAAAACATGAAAAAATACTCAGCACACATAATATAAACAAATCATAGAAATACGTTAATATTGGAAGCGACAAAGTGGTACACAATCCTATATGCAAAATATATATAAAATGTAGATAGAGGTAAAAGAAAAATGAATGAAGGAAAATAGTAGAGAACGTTCAACCATAATAATTAAACTGTGCTAAGTCAGTAGGCAAAAGATAGGTTTATAAGGAACGAAAAATTATACAATATATATAAAAATAAATATATAAAAAATACATTGATATATACAGAAATATCTATAATAAAAGAAAGCCATATAGATCAATTTATACAATACAATATAGAAGCAAATGTTAAATAACGGTACAGTGCGTATAGCAATTCAAGTTTGTGTACTCAACAAAAAATTCTTCTACTTTTCTGAAAAGTAAAGAACTGCTTCTACCTTCAGCTTAGAAAGATACAGANGGGAGAGAGAGAGAGAGAGAGAGAGAGAGAGAGAGAGAGAGAGAGAGACCCCACGAGCTTGAGTAAATATAGTAGTAGTAATAGGGTAAATGCTTTAAAATTGAGTGACAGAGAGACAGAGCGAGAGAGAGAGAAATGAATAGATAAAACGAAAGGTAGTGGTAGAGGGAGAGAGAGAGAGAGAGAGTGAGTGTGTGTGAGAATGGGAGAGAGAATTGGGGAGGGGAGAAGGGATGGAGGGAGGAAGGATGTGAGAGAGGGAGGGAGAGAGAGAGAGAGAGAGAGAGAGAGAGTGAGTGAGAGAGAGAGAGGGAGGAAGAGTAGAGAGAGGAGAGAGAGAGAGGAATAGATAGAACGAGTGAGAGTGAGAAAGAGGAAGGGAAGGAGCGTGTGAAGAAGAGAGAACGAGTGAGAAGTAAGAAAGAAATAGAGGGATAGCGAGAGAGAGAGAGAGAGAGAGAGAGAGAGAGAGAGTGAGTGAGTGAGAAAGAGAGAAGAGAGAGAGAGAGGGAGAGAGACAGATGGAGTGATAGAGATAGGAAGAGATAAAAACAAGGTAAAGAGGTTAAAAAGTAGAAAGATAAGCAGATTAGTGAGAGAGGTTGTAGAGAAACAAAAATGCAAAAATTTTCTGATTGAAAAGAATGAAAATTATAAAATACAAGATAGGGAAGAAAAAGAGCAACATACACACTGGCAACTTAAACAATAAGTTGATAAAACGACTCGAAATATTTACAAAATAAGGTACATCGAACCCAGGTAAATGGAACAATAAATGTAATGATTGATAATTTCATTCAGATAGTCGTTGAATGTAAAGCGAAATAAAATGTATTAATAATGAGAAAATTCAAACATTAATAGACTGTCAGGGGGATAAATATTTATATATCTATGTAGAAAAAGTTAGCGGATTAAAGTTAACATTCAATAAGAAAACGAGACAGTAATAGAGTATGTGAGAGAGTGAGAAGAAAACTGCTAAGAAATAAAAAAGCATATAAGTTGCAAAATAAAAATATAAAGCATATTGAGAAACGCACAAGCAAACATGAACATCACCAACAGAAAAGAGTAAAGAAAGTTCTGGTGATTAAACAGCATAAAGCGAATTTCATAGAATAACGATTAGTGGACATGTGTGAGATTCGCCTTTTCACATTTCGTTAACAATTGTGTGGAAATGGCGAAACTGGTCCCCACAAAAACATTGAAAGCAGACTAGAAAACGACTAAATTACGGTGTTTTTGTTATTATTTGTTTTCAATTGTGAGGTATCGATTGTTTAACTAATTGTTCAAACAATATGCCTTTGAACGTCGTTAGAAATCGATCGATTTGTACAATTGAATCAATTACCGGGAGGAACCCCTTAGACAGAGAGTGGGAAATAATCATCAGACTAAAAACAACAAAATCCTGTTTGCGTTGGTAGGTAAAGAGCTAATGCAGGTCCACCCTCCTGTTAGAATAACCCTAGGTCACCCCCTCAATAACGGATGCAGTGTCAACAATGCACCCTCAAAATGGCGGCGGGACTTCCCCGAGGTGTATATTTTAATATTTTAGCGCACCCCGTGGTGGATATTCTTTTCAAAACAGTCTTAGGTAGGGGGCTCCGTGGGATGGAATATGGAAGTACAGCCTGGGCCCCCCTTTTCAATGTAAGTGTAACGCTGTAACATTCTTACACTGTCAGACGAAAGTGTAACATTTCTCCTGCTAAAAGCATCGCAAAGAAAGAAACGCAAATCAATAATCCAGAGAAGTTTTAGATATACAAAGATTTTCCAACTCCTTTCATTATTATCAAAATAAATATACACTTCTGTTAAAAAAAAAAAAAAATGACGGAATACGGTTGAAAAACATAAAAAGTACCTTTATATAAATAAATGAAAGCACCAATCGTATAGCGGAGTACTTCTTAATGCGATTAATTACACACACGTTTATATAAATTTAATGAATCGTATTAATTGTTCGTGTTGCCTCATTCATTCCACAGTATTTAACTTTGTAATAAATCCCATATCAGTTAATTTAATTCAAGTTATATAACTGAAAATTTTGTTTTATTTAAAACTTAAAATAAATACAACAATTAGCTAGTCCCTTTCGTCTAATTATATTCCCATTGCTGGGGCTAGGAGAGAGAGACTTTATGAACGCAAAATTATTTTAACCTGCGAGATGTAAGGGGGGTTTAATGACCAAGTAGTGCAATTGTTTAGGGTGGACATAAACTATATTTGTAGGAATAGAGTTCAACTCTCGCTTTAGATCTGGCTAACTCCCGGTGAGGATTCCTTTCATTTTTTCAAAGAGTACACCGCCCATCAAAAAATTAATTAATTTTTTTTTAAATGACAACCTGGTTTTTGCACGAAAAAATGGCCAACTTTGGAAAGTCACATACCTTCAGTTGGTATCATTTTTTTAGAAAATTTTACGGCTTTTTCAAATGTTTTCCTAGCTTCAGTCATTCATCATTAAATTCGAAAATTCGGGAACGTTTTAATTTTTGCACTTTTTACGAAAATTTCAAATTGAGCTGTGGAGCCAGGAAATCGTCCTTGGGGCGACGGCCTATAGCACTCGATAGGAAATATTAAAAAGTTTTCATTGGTCATCTTCCACTTTGTCCGATTTCTCAAACGTTTTCCAGTTATTCGCGATTTTTGGGCAAAAAACGTGCTCGTGGAATAAACCGATCACTCTCTCTCCCGATTTTACCATACATAGACCTATTGTTTCAATATGTTATTCGAAGAGAGACTGCTACAACACCTGTGGAAGGAAAAGTTGAATTTCCGTGATGAGGTAAACACGTGGTTATCGAAAGCGGAAGCATTACGCGTCCCAAAAGGTCAAAATAAGAATTGTCGCTTCTCTGTTCACTTTTGTTGAAAAAGTCTTCTGAATAAAAGTTTTTGATCCCCATCCTCTGAACAAACAAAAGTAAAATTTGCGAAAACCTGACGGTTCAAAATCGGGAGAGAGAGAGAGAGAGAGAGAGAGAGAGAGAGAGAGAGAGAGAGAGAGTGTGTGGCGTGGTGCATTTTATATGCAATTGTAAAATACATAAATAAATGAAAAAAGCTTTAAAACAGTGTAAACAATTCAAATAAAGACAAAATATGTTTACAATGTCCGTCGGACCTTTAAGTGTTAAATCTTTACTTATTGAAAAACGTCCGAATTATAATTTACTAAATATTTTGTTATGTGTTTCAGGATATGGACCGGATTATAAGATTATGGTGGATCATCACATTTACGTGTATTGGTTCTGCCCGAGCGTTCTGTCCGGCGAATTGCAGCTGCGATGACGATACCTTAGTTGTATCCTGCGTCGAAGCAAACTTGGACGTCATACCGATCACGCTCAACCCATCGATCAAGAGGCTCGTCTTGAAATTCAACAAGGTCAAAACAGTGGACGCCGCTTTCCAGTTCTACGGAGAGCTGCAATACGTTGATCTCTCGTACAACCAATTGGTGTCGATACCAACGAAGAGCTTCGAATCTCAGAAAAAATTAGGCGAACTTCATCTCAGCCACAATAAAATTTCAGCCATAACAAACAAAACCTTCGACGGGCTTAAACTGTTGACGGTCCTCAACCTTAAAGGCAATTTTCTAGAAGACCTTCCAGATAAGCTGTTCAAAGCGCTACCACAACTGGAGGAACTCAATTTGGGCCAAAACCGAATCAACAGGATAGACGCGACGGCCTTTCAAGGGTTGAACTCCCTCAGAGTCCTCTACTTGGACGATAACCAACTGAGGGTGGTGCCTACGCCCTGCTTTCCCCTCCTCAGTAGTTTGGCCGAATTGCACGTCGGGCTCAACGCTTTTACTGCGTTACCTGATGACTCCTTCAAAGGTCTCAACCGGCTGACGATTCTAAATCTCAGTGGAGCGGGTTTGTTAAACATAAGCGATAACGCTTTCCGCGGGCTCGCAGCATTGAGAAATTTAGTCCTAACAGACAACAGATTGACGAAAGTCCCGACGAAACAATTGAGCATCCTGACCCGTCTCGAAGAACTTTCGATCGGTCAGAACGACTTTTCCTCTCTCCAAGTCGACGGGTTTAAAGGGCTCACAAATCTGAGGAAGCTGGATATCACAGGCGCCTCCCTTCTGGAAAAAGTCGAAAAAGGCGCTCTGGCGGAAAATCTGAATATCGAAACTCTTATTCTCAACAGCAATAAAAGGCTGTCATCGTTGGACAAAGGATCCCTCGCGGGACTGCCCAACTTGAGACATCTATCACTAAGGGACAACGCTTTTACTACGTTTCCCGAATCTCTGGTCGCGTGGCCAGAATTAAGAAAGTTGGACGTGTCTGAAAATCCTTTGGAGTGCAGTTGCAAAATAATGTGGCTGAGAGAGCTGCTAGTAAGCCGTAATTCTAGCCAAGTACTGTGTTCGCAACCTTTATCGCTGAAAGACAAATCCCTCAAAACTTTGACGCCCGACGAATTGGGATGCACCCTACACGGCGCCTGGCCTCATACGGTCATCGGCGGGGTATGCGCCGCTATCGTTGTTTTCATGGCCGTCATCATCATACTGATTTATCACTACAGACGGCGAGTCAGTGACGCCTTAAAAGACTACAAATGGAACAAACGGGCCATGGCGAGAAAAGGGATGGAATACGAAAAGACTTACACTGACGAAGACGGCCCCAACTACATTATCCCCCAGCCGACCTATCCTAGGCCGATACCCGTGACGGAACTGTAGCTAGAGCTATTCGGTTGCGGGCCCGCCACGACACCACCGCCTCCACCACCTCCCAACGTCTTCTACCTGACGGAGAAAGAGGCCAGGAGGACGCCCAGAAGTCACCAATCCGGAACTGCACCCGCAACCGGCTTTTCGTACATATCTGGCGACCAGTTGTACATGGCGAGTTGCAACACTTTTCGATCCACACAAAGCAGGCACCACCATTACGCACGCCCTCACAACACCACCCCTTAAAATATTTGAGCACGTTCTCGATCCCAATCACTACTAACGTCTATAGATTCGTTCTTCACAAATTTTTATATTGACGTTTAAGACTCGAAAGAAAAGAAAAAACAGTTCGTGTCATTTCACAACATTCCAAATTGTTTGACCGGAGGAATATTTTCGAGACTTACTAAGCGAGTTAACTGTGGTTTCTACAATAAAATTATGTTTGGAACTAAACGCTGTACGGTATCCAGTCAACTCAAAAAAGAGAAAATACTATCATTCAACTCCCTAATTTATCAGAACTCAATACCATAAACTAACTCTCAAAGTTTAGAATATTTTCTTAGAAATGTAAAAAGATTTTCAAATGCAAATATATCGTTTCTTCGAAATAAAACTCCCGCCTTAAAGGTGATTTTGTAAATTGTGTACAGTCATTAGATTTAGGATCTTGTAATTTATATTTTTATTACAATTTGGATAAAATCGAAGTTTTTATTTACATTGTTTGTACTTCGTAATTGTTAAATAAAATTACATAAAAATAAATATTACATATATATATATTGAATTTTAAAAAAACCAAACAATTTTTTACTGTATTTAATATTTCGAGAATTTCACATTCCTTTGTAAATTTAGTCTTGTATAAATATGAACAATATAAGCACTTGTAAATAAATTATGTACTTTATAAATGTAGCAACTTTTGAAATTTAACAGAGTTTTACGAGACTCAAAAATTGTTTCGTAATTGAATGTATTTAATTTTCAGTGTAAAATATTCCATGTGCTATTTATATAAATAAGTAGAACATTCAATACTCTGAAACGAATAAAAAGGAAGAAATGCTCTTGTTCATTGTGATGTTACAATAAACTAATTATGTCAACCCTCCAATGTTACCAATATATTTTGACGAGCGGAAAGTGAAAAAGCGAATTAATTTTTTTTTTAATGGTTACAACGGAATGCCAAGGGTGAAATGAAATTGTCCGACTTTTGATTGAATAAATAAAAAAAATAATCGTTAACACGTTTCACACGCTTTCAATTTGAATATATAAACAAGATGAATAATTAAAATCTATGTAAATGACCCTACGCAAAAGGAATCCCTTGTGCAAACCCGACAAAAATAATAGGAAATATACTAGATTAGGCCTACTTATTGCATTTATATTACATTTAACTCGTTTGTGTCATGAATACTAGTCACTTTTTAAGAGCATGTAGCTTTAAGGAACATAATATTGTATATTTAAGCGAATAATCGCTAATCAGCAAAGGCGTTTTATCTAATGGTTTTTCGCTGATTTATTTCCAAATTTCCAACAACAACAAAAATGAAAAGAGTATATAAAATTTCTATTTAACTTTTTGTTTTATTGTATCAAGCGTTTAAGTGACTGTGTTCTATTTTAAGATACTGTTGTACATTTAATTTTGACTGCAAAATAAATTGATCCTTTGTAAAGTTTATTTTATTTTTGAAATATCCTTACTATCTCCATCCAACGAAAACGTCCAACAGAAAACGTTCCTTTTAACGTAAGATGATAAAGTGGTTGTTTCTACTTTGTAGTAGTGTATGATGTATAACATATAGTCTTAGAAACAAATTTCAAGACATTTTGCGGATACAGATAAAAAAGCAGAGCACGCGTTACTAAAATATAAAACAGAGAAGATATATATTGCAAATTAAAGAGAATAGGTAAGTGAAACGGAAAGACACTTACAAGTGCTACTACTGCTACTATTTGGAATAAAGTAGTAGAAGAAGAAGAAAAATAACTTTCGATTAATTAAGGATTTTAGTTGAGATAAAAAAGTCAATGTGACGAATTTTCCCTCCTTTTTGCCATTTTTCAAGGGGACCACGAAAACTAGTGGAAGAAACATAACTTTATTCTGGGACTGGTGTCACGTAAGCATAATATACATGAAATAGATAAAGGAAGTTCCTTCTATGAAATTAAATTAAAATAAGATAGAAATCTTGGCACAATATGTACCAGTAAGGCAGGCCATAAGAAAAAATAACAAGAATATTAAACAAAAATATTAAATATTAATGTAAGGTCTCTGCTTGGAGGGAGAGGAGGTGATTATACGGGTGGGATTATCCATAGTTTAGGGGTTCGGGTTAGAAAGGATCTTTCGAAGGTGCAGGTTGTATGGTGCTGAAGGATGAGGTCAATTGGGGATGAGCGGGTGTTACGAGTGTGATGTGAGGAGTTGAATTGGAGGGATTGGGTGATGTAAGGACGACGAGGGGGGATGGACTGGAAAAGAAAGCATCCTAGGAAATACTGTGCACGGAAGGAGGGGTAAAGCCAGGAAAGTTGGGAATACAAACCCGACACCCGGGACCCCCGTGGGGTGCCGAACACGAATCTTTCCCAACAATTCAGAATACGCTTCACTCGCCCGTCCCCCCCCCCCCTCCGAGAGACCTCCGTGTGCTGACAGAGACACAGCTGTAATCGAAGAAGGGAAGATACAAGGAGTTCGCGGGTGGAGAAAGGTAAGAGAAGCCAGGACCGACGAAATAGGCTGAGGGAGGGAATGCAATGGCGGGAAATTTGGGAAATGTGAGGATGCCAGGAAGGGTTTTGGACAAAGACGTCCTTGCTTAACCAAGGAACAGAAGGGAATGGGATGGTTATTTAGCATGAGAGGTGGGATGCTGGGGAGTGAATAGAGGAGTTTCCTGGACCCGATAATTATTAGAAATCACTACTACTGCTACTACTTGGAATGCAGTAGTAAGTACTACTGCTGCTACTACTTGGAATACAGTAGTAAGTAATACTATTGATAATATTTGGAATGCAATAGTAAGTACTACTACAGCTACTGCTTGGCATACAGTAGTAAGTACTACTACTGCTACTACTTGGAATACAGTAGTAAGTAATACTACTGATAATATTTGGAATACAGAAGTAAGTACTACTACAGCTAGTACTTCGCATACAGTAGTAAGTAGTGCTACTGCTACTACTTGGAATACAGTAGTAAGTAATATCACCACGAATGAAGATCAGTACATAATAAATTGGGAAAAGAACTGATGTATCAAATAATAATAAAAGTATTGAAGATCATGAGTGGTATATATAGATGTGTACTACCGGACAAATAAACATGATCGGATGGTTAATAGAAATAGGAAAGGAAAACATCTATAGAAACTACATGATGGCAGTTAGATAAATAGTTACTGGTGGAATAGCTATATAACAAAAGGGAAAGAAAACAAAAACAATCTCCATATCATTCGAACAAGGGTAAAAAGCACTATTACTGTAAACAGATTAAGAAAAAAATATAAAATATGAAAAATGAGGAGTTCAAGCTAGAGAGAGAGAGAGAGAGAGAGAGAGAGAGAGAGAGAGAGAGAGAGAGAGCGATGAAAAAGGTAAGATAGATTGGTAGCTAGATAGTAGCCTAGATGGTACCTAGATAAATAGTTTAAAGAGGACTAGTTAGATAACAAAAGAGAGAGAAAAGATAAAGACAATCTAGGTGATCCGAACAAGGCTAGAAAGTATAAAGCACAGAAAATAAGACATACATAGCAGACAGATAAAATGCGTTAGACACAAAATAAACGAAGGAAATTAAATTTATGTATCATAAATAACGATATATATAAAGAAGCACTCAAGACAATAGTATAAATAATAAAAAAATTAAATATTTTTTATAAATAATAAACCGATACATCTAAAAGTAGGTAATTGTACACAGTGAGAAAATGGAAACGAAGAATGTATTAAAGTATTCAGCGGATATAGAAACTACAATATGACGATTAGATAAATAGGTAAAAGGGGCATTAAACAACTAAAAATTCAATTGAGAAAGAATTTCTAGTCTAGATAGAAGAATTTGATGACTAAAAAGAAAGACCTCGAGTGATTCTAACAAGGTTTAGAAATTATAAAGCAAGACTAACATAAAAAAAAAATATATATAAATCAAAAGTTTGAAAGAGAGGGAGAAGGGCAGAGAGACATCCATAGAACGTAAAAAAAATGCATGAAGATACAGAATGACAAATATGACTACATAAGGCACAAACTAAAGCAAGGAAAATTATAAAAGGTTACTAAGTATCATCAAAAATAATTAATAGAGATATACAAGAAAGGTAATACGTTTAATATTTGTATAAATACTATTAGGAGAAGCGGTCATCGGAGGGCTGAATGGATGAAGAGGAAAAATACTCACACGACTAAGAATAGGCCATTCGAAGTAGACACATTGACCCTTACTATGGGACCAAACTTCGCGTAGGATGCTCAATGTGTTTGACATAATTGGAGGATGTTATTCCTTAGCTGCAAATAGAAGATAATTCTAGATACCCATAAAGAGCAATTAGGAGTGCTACCCGAAATGAGAAATGTGGTTGATCATTTGTGTCCCTGTTCGGATTTGTGGAGGAAACAGGACTATTTTATTACATATATTATATGGTACGTGGTAGATATGTCGATTTGTGTTTCCTTTTATGGATGAATGTATTTATTAGAGTGAATGTGTCCTAGGTCCATGGTGGAATACTGAGTATTCCATTGACCTTCAAATAAATTAGTTTTACGATGTGTGTAAAAAAAGGGTGGTGAAGGAATATCAATACTGACCGAATGGTATATAATAAATATGAAATAATATATAATATATATTCAGAATGAGTGAATGTATGTGAATATCTTTGTATAAATGTGAGCGCTAACAACCAAAGTGATCGGTAACGATCGAATTACAGGTTATCATCTGGCGGACCTCATGGAGAAATCTCACAAAAAATAAAGTTATGACGATATGACCGGGGGAGAGGTAGAAAGATAAAACTTAAGAGCATAAGTAAGATGTAAACAATACAAAAGAAGGGAAAAAAGTACTGAGAAGTGAAAAGGGTGAAAACGTTGAGAGTTCAGACTGGTAATGTTGCTTACCTGAAACAAACAATAAAAACGTAAACAATTCAGGTTGATAATACAGAGTAAGTATGAAATTAATTGTTAGAAAGATACAATATGCAAATATATATGTGCGTATGTGTGCGCGCGTGTGTGTGTGAAACCGAACAAAAAGGTAACAATATTGACAGAATTAATAGGTTACTATGATTAAGAAGGAATTTTTTATTTATTGTGATATTAATATTATGAAATAAGCTGAAAACCTTTCAAACCATGGCAAAATGTTATACAACGTTTTTACGAAGAGTGATTAGCGGATCACCCTTTGAATACAAAATACCGAAATTAATATGACGTGTGTTTTTTGTTTATCGATTTTATGCCATTAGATTCAATGGATGCCAGTCCAGACTTGTATAACCGACAGATAATGGATTATTGGTAAGAAATTGGATTGAAATGCTGTTAAATGTCAGTTTAGAGGGCGTTGGATTTTAATGAAAATACTTTGATCGTTATACCTTTTTTATACTGAAACCTGCCCACTCTCAATTTCCTCCTCATTCTCTCTCGCCCTCTATCCGTTCTATCTATCTAAAGTTTCATTACTATTTACCGTAGGTTATAAAAATAAATGAAAGGATCTTCATTTCCAAAATTAACCCCCTCCTCTTGGTTAAAGGACTTAACAGTCCCTCAAATAAGAAAAAAATGCATTTTGATAAGTGAATTCCGAATTAATCAATTTTCTCTTTGTCCTAAAATAAAAATTTATGAATGAAACGATAGAGGTTTTTATTTTAGTGAATTAACTTAAATAAATTAATAAAAAACAAATAAAATTATTAGCCAACGATTTTTTTATTTTATTTTGTGTTAATTTGCCCTGAATTTTGGGTAGTTTTATACTGATTTAAGTCTACTCAGACCCGAAAATCCTCAGATTGAAAAATCATTTAAATACGTCTTTAGGTACTTGTCCATAAAATGTTAAATTCATAATATAATTATTATTTAACAGTACTCGTGGTAATAAGCCATATGCGTCTCACGGTATAATATTAATACAAACTTATTTCTAAACCATTATATTTAATATTTATGAATAGCATTTTTGTTTTTACTTTAATATCAAAATACCTTATTTCAAATTCCCTCAGGCTGGAATTTCAGCCAGAAAATTGATCATGCCCTTACTAGCCAAAAGAACATGTAAATTTCACCTCATTGTTTTACCTGCAACGTTCAAAGTTTCAAAGTTTTCATTTATTTATACGTGTAATATTATAAACTGAATATATTATACATTAAAAACATTCGAAAGTACTATACAATCAGTAATTGTCGGTCAGAAATATCAGTCAGAAAAATAATATGTAGCACTTCAGTTAGGACTTAAACAATTTAAATTGTATTAATTTAACGATGCAAAAATTATATTATTGAAACAAATGAAATCCCGTTTTATTTATTCCGCGGATTTGAATAGACTATTGTGACGTCAATGTATAGTTAATCTATGAGACCCATTAATTAGTAAATAATTATTCAGAAATAAATTGTCAAAAAGACAAAAGCTTCAATTACATTGTGAAAATATTGCAATTNATATATATTCACACAAGGGATTGATGTGAAATTGCTTAATAATAATTTTTTATTTTATCCTATATTAGTTTTTCAGAAAATATTACTTATTAAATTATTAGCTATGTTAATAAGCTAGTAGTATTCATAAAATCCGCCCCCCCCCCTTGGAACATTGGGGAAAAAAGCTTTTTTCATACAATAAAAGTACATTATTAATTTTTGAACTTATAAATAAGTTAAGACAATCCGACTTGAAAACGAACGGTTAGGAAATTTATTGTTTTACTTGAAAGATGCATCCTCTGTAGTGTAGGAACATCGAGTACTCCGGAGGAGTGATGTGACCAGATATCTATGTTTGTGGTGATGTATATATGCATTGTATAAATTCAATTTTTTACATCCTACTTGTATTTGTCAAATTTAAGCAATGTTTATAAATCCCAGGCCCTGAAGATGATCTCAATAAAGATCGAAACGTTGGCAGGATAAGTAAAATGTTTTTCTAAAACCTACGTCACACCAGACCGCTTCCTCACGATCTCCGCATAATTACGTATTGTATGTTTTGCTTCTATTCTGTATTTGCCAACCTGAGGTACAAACGAGAGACTAGTAATTTAGGATATGGACGTGGTGTACATTTAAAAGCAGAGAGTCAGAAACCAGATCGAGACGCTCAAATGGCTGCAGTTTAAAACAAAATACGCGCGAAAGAAGAGAAAAAGAAGAAAAACACAGGGAGGGCGAAGATCTCAGCTGTTTGTCGACCCATAAACCTCCCACTTTATATATATTCTCTGTAGTGAGACTGCTGGCATAGACGGGAAACAAGCAAGAATACATGATTCGCATTCTGTTGTTCCAATTGTCTTGATGATATTTCTACGCAATCTAGCCGAAAAGCAATTCAAACAGATTTAAAAGTGATGCGATCAAGAGTATATATCGCGTGCGATACACAAATATGGATAGTCAAAATAAATCATAAACTACTACAAAAAATTGAGCAATTGCGGAATTGAATCAAATTTAACTTTTTGGCCGCACATTTTGACACAAGCGGGCAAAAGACTTAGCAAAGAAAGTCATTCCTAAACTTAGTAGAAATTATCGGTAATAATTAGGTAAGTGCTTGGTAGTAAATATACAGCGCAATTTGAAAGAAACTACTTTGTTTTTACTGTAAACTTATATGTATTTCTTCAAATTTAAATTGCATACAGAGATGATTTTAAAATGTTTGGAACCAGATTGTCACAAAAATTTATAATTAATATGTCAACATCCAAAAGATCAAAAAAGCTTTTCCCGATTGCAGGAAACACAAAATGATTCGGGATTACAGGAAATTCATCGCGTGTGATCGCACGACATCGACTGTTCATTCTTGTTTCTAACAAAGCGTACGTCAAAAAATCCAAATTTGAAGACCTTCATTCCGTTTGATAAAAAACTTGCTTTCTCCTATCAGTATGTGCTACGTTTTTCCCTTTGCGATAATGAAAAAACCATTAATCGTCGAAAATAAACCATTTTTACTACATTTTATATAAGCAGATCACTTTGTAAAACTACGACTTTACTAATAATTTCCGAATGTGAAAATAAAAATTACTTCAATACAAAGAGTGATAAAATCGAATTATTGAAAAACTATGGGCATATTTTAGAACCTACAATAAACATAAATTCAGCCAGGAACTGATTCTTTCCTTTAGTGACATCACAGGTAGTGCGCAAAGGGAACAAGCGCGTCGCTAATATCGTGGTAAGTGCTCTGCCCAAAAAATACTGTTTTTTCCTATTTTCCAAATAAGATTAGCTTTTCTCTAATGGAAATATTTATAGTAGAATAATGTTTTACCATACGAAATGATCATTCTTGTTTCTAATAAAGCGTACGTCAAAAAATCCAAATTTGGAGATCTTCATTCCGTATAATAGAGGCCCTTGCTTTCTCCTATCAGTATGTGCTACGGTTTTCCCTTTGCGATAATGAAAAACACCATTAATCGTCGATAATGAATCATTTTTACTACACTTTACATAAGCAGATCACTTTGTAAAACTACGATTTATTAATATTTTTCCGAGTGGGCAAATAAAAATACTTTAATACAAAGAGTGATAAAATCGAATTATTGAAAAATTCTATGGATATATTTTAGAACCTATAATAAGCATAACTTCAACCACGAACTAATTCTTTCCTGTAGTGACATCACCCATAGTTGATCACTCACAAGGAACAATCGCGTCGCTAATATCGTGGTAAGTGCTCTGCCCAAAAAATACTGTTTTTTCCTATTTTCCAAATAAGATTAGCTTTTCTCTAATGGAAATATTTATAGTAGAATAATGTTTTACCATACGAAATGATCATTCTTGTTTCTAATAAAGCGTACGTCAAAAAATCCAAATTTGACGACCTTCATTCTGTTTGTTAGAAAATCTTGCTTTCTCCTATCAATATGTGCTACGGTTTTCCCTTTGCGATAATGAAAAACACCATTAATCGTCGATAATGAATCATTTTTACTACACTTTACATAAGCAGATCACTTTGTAAAACTAAGACTTTACTAATCTTTTTCCGAGTGTGAAAATAAAAATTACTTCAATACAAAGAGTGATAAAATCGAATTATTGAAAAACTATGGGCATACTTTGGAACCTACAATAAGCATAACTTCAGCCAGGAACTGATTCTTTCCTGTAGTGACATCACGCATAGTTGATAATTCCATAGTGTGCATAAGGAACAAGCGCGTCGCCGATATCGCAGCAAGTCCTCCGCCCAATAAATACAATTCTCCTATTTTCCAAATAAAATTAGCATTTCTCAAATGGAAATATTTATAATAGAGTAATGTTTTACCATATCCGATGACCAATCTAGTTATTAAAAAAGCGTACATCAAAAAATCTAAATCGATTCGGTGACCCTCATCCCGTTCGATATCAACTCCTGCCTCCTCCTGCCATTGGTATTTAGTATTTACATGAAATTCTGTTGATAAATCAGTAGGATTACATCATTTAGTTTTTGTTAGCCACTGAGAAGAAGTTTAGGAAGAGAGGAAGCGGATTTTTATGATTCTGATTTTTCACGATGGAAGAAGTAATAAATGAAGTCGTCTCCTCGGACATCCTCAAGGTATATTACATTTTCCCTTTGGTTTTTCTTCACATTCGGTGATTTTTGTTGGTTAAAACGCAGGAAAGCTCTGAACGATTATTTCTACTTATAAGAGAAAATAAAGGCTGGTTGGTGACCCACCAACCCTTGGTCGATCATACACCATTTATCGCCAATTATGATTTCATCCATGACATCTACGACAGTTCAATAGAATTTTGATTCGAATAAGAAATGAATAAAAAAGTCTAAATCTATTTAAACAATCCTTAATATGATGATTCATCTTCGACCATTTTTCTTCAGTGAATTAAGCCTTAATATTGTTTAATAAGGAAGTGATTTTCACTTCAACACATCAAAGAATGTTTGTTACACCTTAGACATTGGAAGCCAGACATAATACAAGTCCTTTCATGTTATCATGCCTATAAATATGTTATAGTTCATATAATAGAGTTGTTCAAAGTATGAATTTATTTCAATATTTAATTGCAGTATATTGCGACATTGCGAAATGTACATATTTCAGGGTTTTCTTTTTTGATAAGAATATAATGGCAACATATGAACATAATGATTCACCACATTCACATTCTGTAAAACTGAAATAAGGGGATGACTGAAATGAGTCTGCTGTAGTTTGATCCTCGGCGAGCACTGATTTCAGCATTTTGCCATCTTTGGTGTGTCTGTGATTCTGTCAGATATGGCGACAGACACACTGAAGATGGCAACATGTCGAAATGTTTCTGACCGACCAACCCTACGAGGATATGCAGACCAAAATTATTGGTAACCACCAAATGACAGGAGGGAATCTCGCGATATTGCATAAGCTTGCTACACTTTATAAGAGCTTAAATTTAAAAAAAAAGTTATTCTTAACTCTAGTGATTATACCTAGTCTGAGATAACCAAGCAAAATCTTTTTTTAAATTGTACGATTCAATTAGCCTGATATTTTTCTATTTGACACCTTTATTTTAGACAATCACTGTTGCTCGCATAAATAATAAAATGCTGTCTGTCTTAAACTTAAAAATAAAAAAAACCTGAAAAAATTCAATTCGATAAATAAACTAGTGTTCTTTTGCTTATACATTTGTTCAGATTTGCAGAGAAACTTCAATACATCAAGGGTGGCCCTCGGGAGAATTTGAATTGTAGAAGGGGGTTCATCCTCACCCGATTAAGAATAGGCCATACGAGGTTGACAAACGAACTCCTACTTTAGGCCAAATCCCGCATATATGTCTAGCATGTAGATAAAAGTTGATCAATGTTTCCTCTTGAATGAGCGGTGTCATTCCATCGGTCAATATAGAGAGTATGTAGGACTGACATATGATATGAGAATTGTGCTTGAACACAGCAGGGAGAATTTTGGTCTCCATTCTGATTGTTGGGTAAAACAGGGCTGTTTACATAAAGAATTTAATTACAATTGGTGCAAAATCACTTGATATTTTGATACTGAGCTACATGAGTTTTTGCATGATCATGTATGTAAACATTTTTAACAATAACTAATAATTAGTATGTAATATCATATTATCAAGAAATAATTTTAAAATAATTAAAAATAGCTATTTGTTTAAATTTAATTTTTAATTTCGATACATTCAGCAGTTGGTCTATTTCTATTTTATCAATAGTGCCCTCTTTTGCTAAGACTAAATGGCTATTTTTCTTTCTTTTTTTTCCTCATTAATGCATAATTGTTTATCTAATTTATTGCAGCATTTTGAAGCTGTATATAATAAACAAGTTGAAGATGGAGAAGTGACAAAGAAAGCAACCTTCGAGTATGCCACCTGCCTCGTGAGAAGCAGGTACTCTGCTGACATCAGGAAAGGGATCTGCTTACTTGAAAGCCTGTATGAAAATGGAAGCGAAGAAGAGAAGCGGGACTATGTGTACTACTTAGCCCTGGGAAAAACTAAGATAAGGGTAAGCTTTTAATCAAAAATAATTTTATGTACATACTATTTATTTATTTTTATTGTATTGTTTTAAGGATTACAGTACTGCGTTAAGGTATGTCAAAGCATTTTTAGATATTGAACCAGCAAACATTCAAGTACAAAGATTAGAAGCTGTCATTAGGAAAAGGATGGAAAAAGGTTTGTATAAATTGTAATTACTAAACAAAATTAATGTTTATAAATTTCAGTGACCATAAAAACAAAAATTCCATTGCAGAAGGACTGGTGGGCTTTGCGATTGCCGGAGGTGCTATTCTTGCTGCAGGCGGCCTGCTCACTCTAGGCATCGCATTGGTCAAAGGATCTAAATCATGAATTCTTCTTCTTTATTACATGTTTTAATTATGGCCTATTTTTGCGTATTTATTTTTCCACAGGACAAAAATAATACTTTTGTTATAGTCATAGAAGTGTGCACATTGTTCAGTAACGTTGCATAAAAATTCAATGTCCTTTGTTTGTTTTTTCTATTCAGGTTTTTTATTGTTACATGTTTATTATTTATTATTCATTCATATTAGAATATAGGCTTCAAAACTAATTTTTGTTATGTTTCGTTTAAATAAAAGATTTTATAATATTTATATTCATTAATTTATAATATTTATGCCTATGGAAAAAAAAGTTGTATAGATCAATGAATCTTTATAAAAAATGAAGAAAAAAAAGCCTTGTGGATAACAGCAATTTTAGTTTATTTCTTTTATTTTATTCAATTTTCTTTTTCTTTTCTTTTTTTTTTGTATATTTGTGGACACTGATTACCAAAATATTTTTATTGCTTTCCCATTTTTCAGATGTATCATTTTTCATTCTTAAATAATGTTAAGTGAATTGTAGATTTACATAAATATAATTATGTGTTAAGTATGGTTGTATTTTATTCTAATTTTATTGCAAAACAAAACAGGATAAGACGCTAATATTTCACACCAAATTTCTATTTAACCCAACTGGACAAAGCACTCCCTCAAGGAGGATTTCCTCAGCTGAACTAATCACACACAGAAGTTTTTTTTTATCAATTCTACTTGAGTGAACGATGGCATCAATGGCGATGATGATATTTTTGTTATAAGTTGAAGTAAACCTAATTTATTTTTTTAAAAAAGTGTATGCAAGCAATGGTTCCAAAAGAGAAATAAGTATTCCCAAATAAATCTAATTTCAAGCAGAAATTTATAACAATTGAGCAACAACGTTGGAACAATTATTGTTTAAAAATTTTCATTAACCTTAAGGCATTTTATCAGATCTCAAAGCTTTGTTAAGGGCTCTATGTGAATCATTCAGGCCATGGCTTTTCCTCTCCCAGGGGTAAGAATATCAGCCTGCACCAACCAAGATGCAACAGATTCCACTCTTTTGCTTTCCTTGCAAAATATGCTCATTTTCAACTTCTCTGGGTATACGCATATGCTTCCGGTGTCTGCAGTGTTAGCATATTTTAGCAGCAGTACTAATACATCCTAGGTTTAATAGTTCTTCTGTTAGTTTCTGTTATGGTCCTTTAATGAACATGGCCATTTATTTGCTGCAAAAGGATATAAGGGGTCGATAGTTCATGTCCTCATTAACAGGGGTAATGCTTTTGTCACATTCAATATCTGACTTGATTCAGTCCCAAAGGGGTCTGGACTCTACCTGGTTGTCCGAGCAGATAGCTATTATTTTGTTGCAATACCCAGCCTCCTTTTGATCTCCCTGGCACACCTTCAATGTCTGCCTGAAAGACTGGCATATTGCCCAAGGTTTATATGATTTCTAGTCCTTGGTTTTTGTACATAACAGCTCCTAGCCTATACTTGGTCCATCTGTATACCTGATATCGGTATTAATATATATCTATCTCACAATCTGAACTTTAAGTACTCTTTTATTGTGAGTTTTATAAATTTGGCAACTTGAAATGAAAAATACTCTTCACTTTTTGGTAAACTACAAACGACTGGCAACATCTGCAATGTAGGACACTTCATTCAAGATTGAAGGACCAAGAACAAGAAGTCCAGTGTCTGATGGATTTACTCATTTTGGTACGCCACAAGGGTTTAGGGCCAGTAGGTATCCTGATTGAACTTTCCTTGTCCAATTTACAGATCCTGATACCCAAAGAAGGTTAATTTGGTTGACCAACAGCTTTAGTGCTCTCTAGTTGCCCGAGTAGATGGCTATTCTTTTGTTGGTAGTATCTAGTTAGTTCCCTGGCCCAGTGTTTAATAGCCATAGTCTCCCCTTGAAAGACAGTATCCTAATCCTTGGCTTATATCCATACATAACAAATCCTGACCTTTAGTCAGAGTTAGAACAATCTGTAAACCAAATATAGCCGTTATTAACTAGGTCTATTTCTGTCAGTCTGTTCTGTATATTTTGAAATGAAATTTCCAATCAAATATGATTTTTGGAATCTTCAAGTCAACACGCATCCCTAGAAACTTGTCTGCCTGTTTTTCTGAGCTTTAATTGCTCTCTTTTATGCAGGTACACTAATGGAGACTGTCCCCGCATTAACATATATTCACATGTGGCTGTAGTTCTCTCTGGATGAAGAAATGTAGTGGTGGTAGATTCTGGAGGACTTCCAGAGCAGCAGTGTGGGTTTTGCTCCAGCGATCGCTCCTGGATGAAATGTCTTTATCCACCAAACCACCAACCATAGGTTATGATGGGTTTAACAACTGCTGAGTATAATCGTATCATCTTGTATTTATTTAGTTTTTGATGACACTTAGATATTTCCTATATTTATTTACAAAGGAAATACAACTATTACCAAAGGCAAATAAAACATGAACCGGCACTAATGTAATATATGCACAGCAAAGAAGACTTAATTTCATTCTCAATAAATTCAATTTTTAATTTCATTATACTTGAAAGTTGTGAATATTTTAATTACTGTTAACTTTTTAAATTGTTAATTAAAGAATTCAAATACCTTTTCAGGGGCTATTTTTCTTGACAGCTCGACAAGTTAACCTGTTCCCTGATCATTTTTTGTTTTTAGAGTAAAATTATAACAAACGATACTAACAGGGTGCAGTATAAAACGAAATTTCTTAATTTAAAATGTATTGTTAAAGTGAAAGGCAATATGAAAAACACTGAGAACTATATCATGGTATTCACCAACAAAAATATGACCACCTGAATAAAATAAATATGGATTTATATTTTTGCTAAGAGAAACATCTTTCTCATAGAGTTTTGTTTTTTAAATAAGAAAGTCATACAGTCACCATTGAATTGTTTAATTAATTTTAATTTATTTGAACAATATTCTCTTTCATGGCTAAATGGTTTATATCAAATAAAAGAGGTAATTTTGTGAAAATTGAGGGCATGCCCTGTACGGGGGTGGAACTGAAAGGGTGTATTGATCATTCCACATCCCACCCACTCCTTAGACAATATTGTGTCCTAGGTTGTGCCCTTTGAATGAAATAGGATAGCAGTCACCAACATGGTTAATCACAAGCACCCCTCAGTCATTGTGTCTCTTTCTGGTAACATACCCAAATGTTTTATTAATTTTGTTCAAGGAATTATGTCCAAAGCTCATGCAATAGTTGACCGGTTGTAATTTTTCTATTTGCAGTTTTATCCCTCGGGTTAGTTTGTTCTTCGCCAATTGAATTAGGATTGTACACCGCATTTGAAGAAGGCCTAGAACAGCCGATTTACAAAGAAAGAGATGTGTTTCGTGTAAGTTTGTTTTTATTGTAGAAAAATTTACAGCAAAAAATCATATCCATAAATTTATTTTGATTTCCCCAAACTCAATTTCAGGTTTTGATAAGTTGATTTTTTACCCGAAATGGGGAAAATTTTTGTAATTAAGGATCAGATCAAATCATAAGAGAAGAAAATCATGTCTCCTTGTTTTTTTTTGTTTTTTTATTAATTGCTAATTCATTTTTGTTGTACTTTAATAATTAGACAAATATTTCACTAATATTTAAAGACATTTGTAGATTTCTTCAAATTATATATTCACACTTTTTTAAATAAATAAATAAATAAAACACATTCAAATAAAATAATTGAATTTATTGTCAATTTCAGGACAAAAAATTAGATTTAAGTACAACAAGTTTCAAGACTGAAAACCGTAAAGCTCAAAAGACTAAAGAAACCGGCAGTAAAACAAATCTAACAGGTAAGTAAATGTTATCATTTGATGGATGTGTTTGCACACACTTTCATACTGCAAAGGCTTATTTTATTTCACTTCTTGATTTTGTTTATTTAGTGAGGAAATTATAAATTTGAAATGAATTTAATTTTGAATTATTTTTTAGAGGCCTATGGTAGGACAATAATAAAAGACCCTAGGGTTCTTTGTTCTGATATTCTTTCCTGTATTTAAAATTAGTTTAAACTATTTTATACTAATATTTAAGTTAGTATTTTTTTTAAACAATGTTAATTTAATGATTGACCATCATTATGGATATCCCTTTCATTACTTTCCTCATTAAATACTCTACCAGCCCTCAATATCTGAGTATTATATATTTTACTTAGTATTTAAATCAGTGTTATTTGTTCAAGTACAATCCTAAGTCAAAAGTAATAAAACCATTACTCCAAACCCAAATAATTTTTTGCTGTATGGAAAGATGTAGAAGCATTATCTTCTAAGGAGGAAAACACTTCACAAATGCCATTTACATCTATTTAATCTAATTGAGGGTCTATTATGTAATCATATTCCACCATAGGCCCTATAAAGCTCATTCCCGCTAATAAATACATTCACTTTTTATATTTACAAGAAATATAAAACAGTAGTAAAAAAAAATGTACGACTATAAAATATATGTGATAAAACAGCAATGATACTATGCTCAAGCACAATTATCATATTTCGTGGCATTCCTACACCCTCCCTACATGGAGCCAGTGGGGATTGAATAACCTCTCTCTTCAAACCAAACTTCCCCTTTTTATTATTCTTTATATAGATTATATGTGTATTTAAACTTTAAATTTATTTCCATTTTCTAAAATATAATTTGATATTAATGTATGAATAATGTATGAAAAAGATTTAAAAATTATCATATGAAAATTTTATATATAAAACCAATTTCCTTGTTTTGTATCCACTTTTGTCTAATATACTGTACTTTTTAATAATAACTGCTTATAACTTACAAGTTTTTAAAATTTAACTTTAAGTTAATTAATTATTATAATTGTCATATTATTTAAATATTAATATTATAATTAATTATTCCACAGATTAATAAATAGTAAATAGTAATAAATAGTATTAAGAATAAATCAATATTGTAAGAAAGTTAATCTAAATAAGTTGTTGGATGGGTCTACAGTCCCATGATAGTGGTTCTAACTATAACCTCTGGTCTCCCTAGTGTTAAGTGAAACTTTAACATTAAAAATTTTTAGAGTGACACTTTTTTTTATTCAAACCCAGTGCCACATGATGTTCTTGGATCTTCTACGGACTTGTACAGGCTCAATACTGATGAAGGAGGAACTTGTATTTTGATTCAGACAGATGCTTTGGTGGAATTTAAATTCACCACAACTTCAAATCAGGTTGAGGTGAGAGATAATTATAATTTTCAAAATTTTCGATTATTGTTTGAATGTTAAAAATATTTTTTTAATTGAAAAAACAATATTTCAGGAAAAGGATGTGTTCATACCAACATCAGCGATTGTAAATGGTGACTGCAGTAATGAGGATAAACAGAATATAATTTTAAAGTGGAAATCTTTTGTACTGATTATATATTTCTCAAAGGTATTTTGATTATATATATTTTGTTTTTAATTTTAGCAGTCAAATTGTTAAATTGTTATTCCTCTTTTAGACTCCCGGTGGTGAAAGATGGTTTGTTTCAAAACTTGAGCTCAAGTTTGACTCGTCTGACCACTTCTTTGATCGCATTAAAAACCCAGGTAAGGTGGATACAATTTTAAATCAAAGATATTTTAACACGATATTTATTTAGTTTAATTAATTTTTTTCCAGGCAGAACTTATTTATTGTCGAATTCTAATGGCAACGGACAACTCCTTTTTCCGACCCCTGTTGGAAAGTCGTATGTGTGTGACAGAGAAATTGAAATTGCCCTTTCCAGCCCTGATACTGACACAACTGCAAAAGTTTATCTGAGGAAACTGAAAATTGAACCTTTCATTTTCAAAAATGATGAATTTGGCCCAGGTAAACCATTCGAACATAAATTAGAATTATTAGACAAATTAACAATATATAAAAAACTAAATATACAATGGGATGATATATCTCAAATCATTAACTTTTACAATGACCGAATGTTTGTGTTCCACCATTTTGATTGATATACCTTAAGCAGATAGAGGTCCAATGAATGTGGTCAACGTTATGAGAAATGTACTAAATATGAAAACAATTTATTTTATATTTGTTTCAGTTAATATTATAGTCAGAGCATGTAGTTAGAGAAACACCCTTCAAATAGTTAAAGCCATATGCATCAATTCAGTCCCACAGATTAAGCTGAGTTTACACGAATTTGCAAAAAAATTATCATTATTCTGATTAAATTCACTAATTTCGTGGTCCGCTTGACCAATTAATACTTTACAATTAATTAAGGTTTTTAGTCGAGATGAAAAAAAGTTAATGGCACGAGAGGGATTTGAACCCACGACCTTCGGCTAGATACGCCGCTGCTCTACCACCTGAGCTATCGTGACCTCGATCCACTCGGACATCAACTCCCCATCTCAACCCCNAGCGGACCACGAAATTAGTGAATTTAATGAATTAAAATGAAGTACACTTCATTAAGGCTCTCCGTCGCCATTTCAATTGTCGTCGAGAATCCAAACCGATTACATGACATTTGAAAAATGGCAAAAGGAGGGAAAACTCATAAAGTGGGGTTGAGATGGGGAGTTGATGTCCGAGTGGATCAAGGTCACGATAGCTCAGGTGGTAGAGCAGCGGCGTATCTAGCCGAAGGTCGTGGGTTCGAATCCCTCTCATGCCATTAACCTTTTTTTCATCTCGACTAAAAACCTTAATTAATTGTAAATTATTCTGATCGTTCTTATAAAAACAAAAAGTAAATTCAAAATGAATTGATGAGTGCCTACAAAAAAAGCAACTTGAGATGCAAAAAATCCACTTGTTCCAATAAAAATAAATGAGGAATGAAGTTTCCATTTAAGTCCATTTAATACTTCAATTATCTTTAACATCTCACAGGAATCAAATTCTCTCAGGGATTTGATTAAATCCCTTTGACAGGGAAACCATACAACCCAACAGACATCATTTGACTTAATAGCGCTCATGATCAGCAATAAAAAAATATTTTTAACCATTGTTATCAGTAAACAATACAGTAATTAATTATTTTTTAAATTATTCACTTTCAGAATACAGGTGTTCGGCATCCGGTGCCGGATCTTACAGAAGCGAGACAGCACCCCTAGTTGTCGGGAGCATGCTTGCCTCAGCATGTCTCATAACGATCGTCGGATATGCTGTTTACCGGTATTTCAACATTGAGAAGGTCCAGTATGACACAATGGAGTAGGCCTTTTATCACAGATTTGCTTTCCAATAGTTTCCAAATTTTATTGGATTTACAATCTAACCTCTTTATTAATGTGTTTTTGTTGCTTTTTAAGACAATTTATTCTTAAACATTTGAATTGATTCACTTAGTTTTTTTTAAAATAAATTTTAAAAGTGTTGATCAAACGATATATGTTTAAATTTTAAATAGGCAATTTTTTCAATGTTGTAAAATTTTATTGTTGTTTACTGTTTTAGTTAAGGTTAAACAAAATTATCGAGGAAACTTATGTTACATGAGAAGAAAATTTAATGGTTGGTAAACAATGGGTAGTATAAACTAGTATTTTGTGGACGTGGTGAAATCTGAGAGGGGTTCTTTTTGCAATGTTTGCAATGAACATGTAGTTTGATCATGTTAGATTTCCCTGGGTTTGAGTAGTTTTATTTTGCCATATTTAACGGTTAGTCAAAACCAACAAGGATGGTCAGAAGATGATCAAGCTACTACAGTTTTTGTTAATCTTTTTTTTTTTATTAAGAAGACAAGAAGTTTATCTTGAAAATGCAGTATTAGTTTGATTACCTCTACAATGATTTCCTTATAAAAATGAATAAAAAACAGATATGTAATAATATTTAAAAAAGAAAGGTGAAATTTCCCTTTTAGAGTAATAAAACATTATTGTTAAAACAGAGAAAAATGTTAGGTATTCATTGGTGAAAGATTTTTTTTTTTGGGGAGAATAGTAGTATTGAAACTTTATTTAATGTGATAAGCCAAGATATTTATAAATCGTTATAATTTTTCCATCGTGTGCCTATTGTAAAGATAAAATTAATTAGGCAAAAAGTTCTTTTTTTGTTACATTAAGGTTCATTAAATTTGTTTTTTAATAGTCATGGCTAGAATTTTGCAATTGTAAAAAATTTTTTTGTACAAATTTAGGATGCTTTATTTGGAAAATTTGGTAAACTAATTTTCCAAAGAACAAACTTTTCATTTGTACTTTTAAAAAAAATTAAAAATTCATATTTGCAAAAATTGGTATTGTATAGATTGTAAAATTTATATTTTTTCAAAAATGATGCAAACTTTTCTATAATAACATGACAGAGGGATGTTAAAAGGATATTCATGGTATCGAGTTCCTTAAGCAATTGTTTCTGTTTATTTATTTTGTTTTATTTATTTTATTTTGTTTTTAGTTTATTATTTTTACTTTATTTTTTATTTTTGGTGGTCAACACCTATGGCTATCCGGCACCTTGCGTATTAATGTTCCCATGTGTGGGGTGTTGTCTCCAATTGTTTTTCACTTTGTTCTCTATTCTTTTACTTCTTGCCAAATTTAAATATTCATGTTATGGCTATCTGACGGTACAATTTGTGGCCCATTATGCCATGCAAATTTTCCCAATATAAAATACAACTTTCATACAACAAGGATGGATAGAGCACATCTTACACTGCTAATAAACAATCTATAGGTCCCCCTCTATCACCAGAAGTGCAGTGGGCAATGTTTACAACTTTCACCTACAAGATTCTGACTCTCTCACTCTATCAGCTGTGGTTGAGACGGTTTGACCTATCTGCAACCTTGTCAGTATTATATCCTGCTTCCAAAATTTCTCCTAAGCCCTTCGATTTTTTATGCAGCAGGCCTACCATTCATAGTACATTCTATTACTCATTTTTCTTATCACATCTGCCAGACTGATAGGGTTAATCATTATTTTCATTTTTTAAATTTAATAACATGAAGCAATGATATTACAGAACTTGTCTACTCGTATTCGCATTTATTAAATAAAAATAATTTTAAAAAATTAAAATTGTGCATATAAGAGTAGAATGCTAATTTTTATTTTAACCATATAATTTCATTCCAATTTATTGTTGTTTACTTTTTATTAATTTATTTTAACAATAAAAACTTGTAGTGTAAATCATGCAGAATAATAATTGTTACTTAGTTATAGAAATTCCTTTTTAAAAAGAGAAATTCGAGCACATGACTGCACAGCTTTTTTAAATTAATTCTTAACAGCTTTAAAATATAATGCACATTTATTGCACAATTTTATTCAATTTATTTTTGGTGGTTTCTTTAATGTCTAAATGTTTTTGATTTGGTTTTAATCAATTTTATTTTACAAGGATAGGACGGTAATAGTTTGAAAAATGGTTAAATCAGAACTATTCAAAAATTTCAAACATGAGAAAACCAAACCCCAAATTTTTGTATTGCTAAAATATTAATTGCCATTATGGTGTACGATATACTTAAAAATCTGTTATGTAATATAAATATAGTGCAAGTAACTGAAGGAAATTGCTTATAAAAAGCGAGAAAAAAATATATGTATATTTAGTTACATTGGAAAATTATAATTAATTTCCAATTTAAATGCGAGTGATAATAAAATATGATTCAATTGTGTGAGGGGGTGATTAAATATGTTAAAACTTTTATGTAATACGATCTCAATGTGTTAAAAAAAAAGCCTTGTTGTTATGCTGTTTAGTCAGTTAAAACTAGCTTACTATAGTTAATTTGTTGTCCAATTTATTCAATTTATCTGTTTAAAAGTGAAATTGTTAAATAATTTATATTTCAACAGATGAAATATTTAAATTGTAGTTCAATTAGAATAATGCTATGGTTGTATTATTATCAATTTTGATTGTTATCTACTTTGCAAAAAAAAAGTGTAAAGAAAATTTCTGCCCAATTTCTTCAATGAATATTTTATAATAATATAAAGTATTATTAGATTTTTACTTTATGTTTAAAAAAAGTTATTTCCTGCAAAACTGTATAACAAAAAAATAGAATAATGTTATACATATTGTTGTATTAATATTTCTAGTAGGATATACTTAATTGACTTATTTATACGATTCAAATGTATAGGTACTACATGTCAAAAAAGCCTACTAAAATAAAAAGAAGTTACTAGTAATCACTGAAAATTATAAAATTAATCACTGTCAATCAGTATATCCTACAAACAGAAAAACAATATTTTTTTAAGAGTTAAAAGCATTTTTTGAATACATATCGCAACTCTGCATACGTTGAATTTATATAGTAGCATAAGGATACTAAACTTACAACTCTAATTAATAATTTAAATATTGTCTTCCATGTATGTCTTAAGATCTGCTTGTATTTTACTTTAAGAAAGCGAATAGAATAAAGAGGAAAAAATCTTTTATTTCAATGTAAAATTAATTGTTTGTTTTTTTATTTTCTCAAATACCTTGGTCGATGATTGAACTAACCACATCATGTTCACAAATCTTTTAACACTTTTAAGCTCATTAATACTCGGTAATTGCTGATTCGGTAATACATCTTACAAAATATAAACAGGAATACACATTAAGAAATGTTAATACTATTTTTATTAGTTTTCCATAATCCTGATTATTGTATGAATACAATTTTTTATTGATTGCCCCTTTGCCCTACAGTAACTCAAGAGACGGACAATGGTCTTATTATCATAATTTATCTAATCCGTAAGATTTCGTGGTCCTATTGACCAAATAACCTTTTGCAATTAATTAATGTAAGATATTGGCTGAGATAAAAAAGTCAGTGTCACGAGCGGGATTCGAACCCACGACCTTCAGCTAAATATGCCACTGCTCTACTACTTGAGACATCGTGCTCAAAGTGTCAATAAAGATCGAAACGATTATTCGGAGATCGTGAGGTGTAACGTAGGTTTTAGAAAAAAATTTTCTTTATGGTGCCAACGTTTCGATCTTTATTGAGATCATCTTCAGGGCCTGGGATTTACAAGCACTGTTTAAATTTAATAAATACATGTAGGATGTAGAAAAAAACGTGAATTTATACAAGGAAAAAATTTTTTTTACATTCAATCAAAGTATTTCTGCTCACACAAAGTGTTTGTTTTCTGCGTAATTGTGCCATTCTTGCGTGTCGTGTAGAGAGTGCCATTGAAGTATTGCTGTTTTATGTTTATATACGTTGGATTTTGAAGGAGTGGGGAAGGAAGTCTGGAAAGAAAGATATTTTTGAGTAAGGAGTCGGCTTCTTTGAGGTGAAAGGAGCCGACAAAGGGAAAAACCTGGGTAATGGTTCGGCCTGATTATCCTTTCAGGATTATATAGACGGGGATAATAAGGGCAAGGAAAGCCAAATTGTTGAAGAATTAGACTATGTAATGATGTTTGATGTGTGGAATGTGATGATTGTTTTATATGTTGTATTAAATGTTTTGTGAGATGTGATGATGATATATATATGTTATCGATATTGAATTTGACTAATGATATTGGCGTAGCTGCGACTGAATTTACATGTAACTGTTCTGTAATTGATGCTGTGTCTATCTTAGTTGGTGTAAACCATTAAAGTTACGTTTATGTTTGTTTTGTTCTGTGTGTAATATTTTTGGATTGATGAAGTCGAAATTGTGTTTGTGTTCAAAATGGTGGGTAGCCAGTGTTGTAGGATTTTGCTTAGGTTTTTTGCAATCATAGATATGTTACTTTACTCTCTTATTTGGATACTGGGATGTAATACCGATGTAAGTTGCCCGACAATTTAAATAATTGCTTTTGTAAATTAAATCAGATTTATTTGTTACTGGTGTGGGGTCTTTAATTTTGTAAAAAAGTGTGTGAATTGTTTTATAGTTTTTGAAAGCTATTTTAAAGTTATCGGAAGAGAGAAATGTGTCTAATTTATGTGATATGCCGTGAAAGAATGGCATAGAAATGTATGTTGGTTTGTCTGCACTTGATAGATTGGCTGTAGTATTATTGGTAATTGTAGATGGTGTTAGTGTTGAGTTGTAGTTGTTGATTATTCTGTTGATTATGTGTTTAGGGTAGTGATTTTATGGAGGGGATATCTTTATGTTATTGTGGTGAAATGATTCATGGCTTAGGGTAATAATTCTGTGAAGTCGTCCTTTGGCCGTGTTTATTATTGCGTGAAGAGGTGTGATGTAAAGTTGAGGTTGCGAGATCTGTGTTTCTTGGTTTTTAATCTGTGAAATCACATCCTACAAATATTTGTAAAATTTAAACAATGTTTATAAATCCCAGGCCCTGAAGATGATCTCAATAAAGATCGAAACGATCGCATAATAAAGAAATTGTTTTTCTAAAATTACGTCACACCCACGACCTCCAAATAATCATCAACTAACGGTCACTAAACACCACACAAATGTTAATTTATATGTTGAATATTATTTCTGTACAAGTTTAATATTGTTATAAGACAATCATTAGGAATTATACGAGGCGAAACGTGAGGTCGCTTTCCTTTGGATCCCGGGTCATGTCGGCGTAAAAGGAAACGAAGGGGCCGACAGAGCGGTAAAAGAAGCCACTAAAATGCCACATGACCCGGATTTTCCGATCAGCCCAGCAGGCATCAAAAATGCAATGAAAACGATAAGTTGGAGTGAATGGCAAATCCGCTGGGACAATATGACCGAAAAGTTGAAAATAGTGAAACCAAAAACAAAACCCTGGGTCCCGGAAGAAATGGAAAAGAAAGACAATTATCCTCACAAGATTGAGGATATGTCACACGAGGCTGACGCATGGCCACCTCTTAATTAGAAAGAGACCCGGGGTATGTCCTCTGTGTGGTGCAGTTGTGACAGGGAAGCACATCCTAGAAGAATGAAACAGCTGGAACGACACAGAAAGAGGTGCGACCTACCTTCCGATATCTCAAAAATTCTAAGGCATAACAGCAACCATAAAAATCGACTTATGACATATTTAAAATCAATAAACGCTTACAGCCACATATAACCCCCACATGTGGTTCACCCCCTTGTATTGTACGAACGTATTTATTAGCCCAAGTGGTTTAGCATGCATGGGTGCGACTGTGACTGAATATCGAGTAACTCACAGGCCAACCGATTTAGGTTAGTGATAATACATTTGTAGTATGATTGTGGGAAGGGTCGACAGCGTCTTGGTTGTAATAATACTACCGAGATGCTGCGTCCTTTATAGTATGTTCGTATTTATTAGCGTGACAGGTTATGTGTGAATGGACGTGGCTGTCGAGGAATATCGAGACAGGCCCGTCAAAAAACCTTAGGATTAGTTTTATGAATGAGTGGAATTTGTACATACCGTTTGAATGTATTTATTCGCGTGAATGGAAGAAGGTCGGCAGGATTAGAACCATCTTACCGACCTCCACTTTAGTTGTAATATTAGGAAACTATGTTTATTAGTATAGATGTGTATTATGAATGTGTATGTATGTAAATGGTCAAATACTTCAATTTACCACATGTGGAGGGATACAAAGAGAAATGCAACAGAAACCGTAAGGTCCGATGAGTAGCCAATTAGAAAGAAGTTGTCAGTAGAAAGAGCAGATTTTTCAAAATGTGAGAAAGATATACGTGTGGTACCGGCAATGATCGAAGCAGTTAGCCGGGTGGGGAAAAATGAATAAATAGTAGTAACAGATACTAATAATAGATAGTAGTAATAGATAGTAATAATAGATAATAATAATGATAATCGATGTAGGATTGTCTAAGAGATAATTAAAAATATTAAGGGTGGCAATGTGTGGTGATTAGTGACCGTTAATCGATAATTATTCAGAAATCGTGAGATGCGGTCTGGTGTGATGTAGGTTTCAGGGCACGACAAAGAAAATGTTTTTCTGAAACCTACATCACACCAGACCGCATCTCACGATTTCTGAATAATTAAGGGTGGCCATGTTTTTTGTCTATCGGTCCTATGCATAATGATTAAAATGGATATTTGCTTAACAAATGTTTTTACCTAGTTTGCTTGATTCCTTCCTTTCAAAAGGTTTTTTTTTACTTTTACCAAAATATGGTCATTATAGATTGTTAGCTCGAGGGCATTAAGAACTTGCTAGCGTATTTCCCAATCAGTTGTTAGGAACTTGAATTAAAGTTTCTTACTTGAATGCCTCTTCTTCAGAAGGTCGGGGCTCTGGTGGCGTACGCGATGCCTTCACGAGCTTAACAATTTCTGCAGGCAATGTTCACTTCGGGGCGGACGATTATTATTATTATTATGAATAGGTAATTAATACGTCATTATTAGGTTAGGGAAAAAACTAATTAAAGATGAGCTTACTTCCAATTCATCCCTAACCACTCCACCTTTGAGGCGACTGTCGCACCATCTCTGGGCCAAAACGGCCGAAGCCTCACGGTATAATTCTCTTATTTGGAGATGGTGGATGTAACCGTCGTTGCAACCTCCCCGCTTAGATGAACCGTGAACCAGCTTTCACCGACTGCTTTTCAACTTATAGCTTTTTGTGAGTATTACTGAAAGCCACTGATTTCTAATAATGACTCGGGCGGAGTATTTTTATGCTGACATACTCTGAGGTAACAGGCCAAATAAGTTATAATTATAATCGTGAAACGTTTGACAAATTCAATTTTTATTTCAAATCGCCCTAACCACCCTTGATGGTTCGATCTAAAATTATCCCTAGATAAATAAACTTAAATCAATTGTTTCAATGGCGTAAGAATTGAAAAAGCTCTAAACGAGAGCGATTTTCGTCAAATTGAACTTTTGGCAGACGTTAAAAGTGTGCTTTATGAATTTGTTGTCATCTTATTATCACACTTGAAATGCAACATTACAAAAGACATATAACGTACTTGTAGCAGGAAATAACAGTATCAATAACATACTTCAGGGGGGCATAGAATTTTGTATGTTATAAGCGGTAGTCACTACAAGCAATATATCGGTTATAGTGAACAGTTCGTTATATCTGAACATTTCATTCAATTAATAGGCTTCTACGTTTATGTGCTTTATGAATTTGTTGTCATCTTATCATTTCATCAGGCTTGAAACACAACATTGCAAAACTTCATGTATAACTATTCAGAAATCGTGAGATGTAGGTTTCAGAAAAACACTTTCTTTATCGTGCCAACGTTTCGATCTTTTTTTTATTATTATTATTTTTATTTTTATATTCAATCAAAGTATTTCTACTCACTCAAAGTGTTTGTTTTCTGTGTAAGTAGAAATACTTTGGTTGAATATGAAAAAAAATCTTTATTTGCATTGTATAAATTCACTTTTTTCCATATCCTACATGTTTGTTAAATTTAAACAATGTTTGTAAATCCCAGGCCCTGAAGGTGATCTCAACAAAGATCGAAACGTTGGCATGATAAAGAAAATGTTTTTCAGAAACCTACATCTCACCAGACTGCATCTCACGATTTCTGAATAATCATAGACAAACGGTCACTAATCACCACACATTTCATGTATAACATACTTGCAGCAGGAAATACAGAATAAATAGTTCATAATGTACTACTATACAATTTACAACCATTTACTACTATACAATACTATCATATAATTTTGCACATTATAAGCGATGTATAAGCAATATATCAGTTATAGTGAACAGTTCATTATATCTGAACATTTCATCCAATTAATTGGCTTCTACGTTTATTGCTTTATGAATTTGTTAAGTTTGGACATTTACACCATCCAGGACTGAGTTGGTCTTTTAGTTTTTGATCTTTTCAGTTATTATCGATAAATCTTTGTAGCATGTAAAAAGTGTTGAAATTTGGAGGTATCAAAAAGTCAAAAGAGGATTTACTAATTTTTTATATTTTTCATTATTATTGATATTATTTATTTTATATTTCCCAAATGTTTTTAAAAGAATGAAGAAAAACATAGACCCATGATTCACGTACATACCAGATATAATTGTGTAACAGTAGTAAAACAAAATGTTTTAAATATTGCTGTTTAAATTAGTTAATGGTAGTTTCTTAGATTGTAATGACGTTAAATTTTTATTAAATTTTCCATCAAAAACACTATGGGCTTACTGTGTAACCATCAGGACAATGAAATAAGCCATTATTTCCAGCAATATTTGGTATTTTAAGTATTTATTTTAATACTAATTTATTTTACAACTGGATGGTTTTTTGGGTAATAAGTCAGGCAGATTTACATCCTTGAGGGTGCGTCCCTTTATAGGATTTTTATTGCTGATTAAAAGGAAGGGGAAAGATGGTGTTAATCTTTGGATAAACATTATCACAATAAAGTAACATTTTGGATATGCCCACTGTTCAATTATTCTAATTATTAATTTAATTTATTGTGTGAAAATAATTGGCTATTTCTTGTTTTAGGATATATCATAATGTGGAAGGAAAACATAAACAAGCACAAATTTAGGAAGTTGCACAAAGATTTGTCCTGGCCTCAAAGGAATCCGCTACTTTTTTCGACTACGATTACAACAGTGGCTTTATTAATATTTTTCAGCAAGCCTATCTACGACATTTATTCCATTATCAGGAGACCAGAGCCGATCAAAGACTTGCCAAAATAATAATACGCAATGACAAAATGGAGGCGGTCAGGAGGGCAAAATTTCGCATGAGCAGCTACCCGAGCATCGTCAATGACTGCAAAATTGAAGCATCTACTTACGCGAGCTGTGTTTTAAAGATGAACGATTTGAAACGCAGTGACTGTCAACTAGAATTCAACGATTTTATCAGCTGTATGAAAAAAAGTGCTGCAAAGAGAAAAATCAGATTGTAGTTTGAAACATAGATTGTGTTTGTTTCTTTTAAACACAAGTTTTTAAAGAAAAAAGTAGTATGGATAGCTTATATGTTCATTTATTTTTTGGCTTTACAATTAGGGTAATTTTTATTACATATGGGATTATTCAAGATTCCATTTCTGAAGTACAGTTTACAGATATCGATTACAAAGTTTTTACAGATGCAGCTAGAAATATTATTAAAGGTGGTTCTCCTTATGATACAGCCACTTATAGATATCCTCCCTTAATAGCAGTTTTAATGATTCCTAATGTTCTCTATCATCCTTGTTTCGGAAAGATATTGCTGTCTTTTATCGATTTAGCCGTTTATTATTTGTTATGTAGAATATTAGCTTTGCAAGGTTTGACAAAAGAAAGAAGTAAAAGATTTGCGTTAGTTTGGTTGTATAACCCTTTGTCAATTGTAATTACGACAAGAGGCAATGCTGATTCCGTTTCTGCGTTTTTTGTTATACTGACTTTGTATTTTTTCAATAGAAAATGGTTTAGCTGGGCTGGAGTTGTACATGGAATTGCAGTTCACATTCGACTTTACCCTATTGTTTTCAGTTTACCCCTTTACATTTCAATTATCGACTCCCATGAGAATAAATTTATACAGATGTTATTTCCAAACAAATCTCGTATCTTATTTGTTGCTTCCTGTGCCTTAGCTTTTGCTGGTCAAACAGGCCTTTGTTATTTACTGTATGGTTATGAATTTCTATATGAAAGCTTTTTGTATCATCTCACAAGAATTGACATCCGTCACAACTATTCTGTATATTTCTATCTGAACTACCTGAATTATGGATCTGATCCCATTCTTGTCAATAAGGTAATAACCCTTTTACCAATAGTGGTATTACTTTTAGCCTTGGCTTATTTCTACAGTACTCCGAGGCATCTGGCTTTTTGTGAAATGAGCATGGCTTTCGTTTTGGTCATGTTCAATTCGGTCGTGACCTGCCAGTATTTCATTTGGTACCTTTCACTCCTACCGTTGTGCTTGCCGAAGATGACCTGCTCATGGAAAGAGTTGTTCCTCGTCAGCAATTTTTGGTTCGCCTCACAAGCCGCTTGGCTCCTCCCAGCCTATCTGCTCGAGTTTAAGTCTATGGATACATATCTGTACATTTGGATCCAGTGCCTTGTTTTTTTCTGGGCGAATGTTATCGTACTTACTTCTTTTATAAGGAGTTACGATGTTAAAAAAGTTAAATCTAAATAATTACTTATTTTGTTTGGAATTTTTTTCCTGAAGAATGGACTTGAAGTGTTGAAGTTTTAACAAGTGCTAAAACTAAGTTCAGTGCCAACAGAAAATTGGTAAATTGTAAGCAACAAAGAAATCTTTTTTACTAAAGAGTTGAATGTGTATAAATTGCATGGAAGAAAAAGCAAACGAAGAAACAATTTGAAAAACGTATGTAATTTAATTATATGTACAAACCTGCCCTGTTTAATAAATTTCTGTTGTAGAAAATGTTCATTAAAGACATTTTTTTGTGAAAGTATTGAATTTAAATAAACCAAGGATTTTCGAAATTAAAAGTGCTGATTTTAATTAAAATGTACGATAAAAAAACATTAATGAAAATTGTCTTAAGCTCAATAAGATGAACCAGATTTCTTGCGATCATCCCGGTTGATCTATTCTTGCTGGTTTTGGTATCAGACACGCATCATATTACCACACAAGTTATATTATTTTTAATGTTCTTGTATGAATATCTTCATTTACCTAAACTATTACTAGGTTATTTAGATCATAAAAATAAGAGAAAAAAAGCAACTGACCAGAGTTGAAAGATGAGAAATACTGAAACGGTGTTATGAAGAATTTAGTTTTATCGGTTCTACGCTTTGTAAGCAAGGTGAGTTTATTTCCATGATTACATTTGTTGTAAGTCATTTAAAATTTAAAACATTTAAATAACGTGATGCAATATTACTTTATTTATTCACATTTTTAATTATTCTACACATTTATACTATCACAGACAGGCCTACTCTCCAAATTTCATCCTGTATAATGTGCAACACCTGAAAAAAAAAGTAATGCTTATTATTTCACTTTATTTAAATAAAAAAGTTAAATAAAACATACAATTGTATTAAATGATTTATTTATGAGAAGAGATACTTGCAACCCTTATCATTTCTTGAGTGCTATTTAGACAGTAGGCAGTTTAGGATTTTTTCGTTTCGTTTTTCACAGCCTACAATAAATGAAACATAAAATACAATAATAAAAAAAATTCTAATAAATCATTACCTTTGAAATGTCTATGCCAGAACATGATATTGACTGGTCTTTCCAAATGACACAGCATTCCCTTAAATACTCAATGAATTCTTGACATTTATTCTCCTGGAATTTATTTTCTAAAATAATATAAATATGTATTTAATATTTACTAGAAAATTTCATATTTTTTAAAAATAATAAACAAAAAATTAAATTACCGTGTAAACATTTCTGTATTTTGCATGCATATGCTTTGCAAGGGTCTTTAGGTTTCATGTAGGGCTAATCATTTGTAGATGTTGACAGGAGAAAATATATTCGTAGAGAAGGCGTGAAACATGGTTATAAAAAAAAAAAAGGTTTTGAGCATGAGCGAGTCAAGCACTGTTACGTCATCAACAGCAATATTGGTGAATCAATGAAAATCATGATTGTTGACTGATGCTTTACATATTGTTTCTCTCTCCCTATCGCAAATCAGATCCATGAGGGATGTACCTAGACAACTGACTAACCCACAAGACTTAAAAGACAAGAACTACGACAAAGCTATTGCAAGAATATTTGATAAAAGGTACAAAGTCCTTGGGGCCTTTGCCTTCTCAAAAATCTAGTACCGATTTTGCTGCACTTTAACCCTAAAATAGTTGCGAGGTGAAGAACCTGTAGTTTGGTCATTTACGAACGTTTTGATCTGCCAGATTTCGACTTGCCACCATCTTTATAATTAGATTCACTAATTTCGTGGTCCGCTTGACCAATTAATATATTACAATTAATTAAGGTTTTTAGTTGAGATAAAAAAGTCAATGGAACGAGCGGGGTTCGAACCCACGATCTTCGGCTAGATACGCCGCTGCTCTACCACTTGAGTTATCGTGACCTCGATCCACTCGGACACTAACTTCCCATCTCAACCCCACCTTTTGAATTTTCCCTCCTTTTTGCCATTTTTCAAATGTCAAAGCCATTGACTTTTTATCTCAACTAAAAACCTTAATTAATTGTAATATATTAATTGGTCAAGCGGACCACGAAATTAGCGAATTTAATGATTTAGAATGAAGTATACTTCGCTAAAGCTCTCCGTAGCCATTTCATTTGTCGTCGAGAATCCAATCCGATTACACGACATTTGAAAAACGGCAAAAATGAGGGAAAATTCAAAAGGTGCGATTGAGATGGGAAGTTAGTGTCCTAGTGGATCGAGGTCACGATAGCTCAAGTGGTAGAGCAGCGGCGTATCTAGCCGAAGATCATGGGTTCGAATCCCGCTCGTGCCATTGACTTTTTTATCTCAACTAAAAACCTTAATTAATTGTTTATAATTAGGTTTTAAGGATAATTATCATTATTATTTCTTTTGTTAAATATTATAAGTACCTACTTTCTGTGGGTAACAAGCAATAGTGCTCAGAGGTAAACAAAATAAATAAAGGAACTATAGGAACAAAAAATTTGAAAAGCTAGTAACTGGTAGCACTTCATATTATTTACTTAAATAGTAAGAAAATACTTAAGTAGGAACAAACTTTACTTTTGTACAACTGATCCCTCCCGATCATTTTAGTGTGCCCTGAATTGATCTGCAAGACGTGTTTTGGTATTTCGCTATCTTCGGTGTGTCTGAAACTTAGTTTGTTTCGCTGTCTTCATTGGGCAGAAGATCACTGGGCCTTTGCTTCTAACCTTCCTGTAGAGTGTAACAGTATGAGTGCTGTTGGATGAGTGGATTAAGAGTGTCTGGTAGAGTTTTGAGGAATTTAAGATATTTGATCAAGATTGTGATATTGAGGTCATTGTGCATTGATTTATTAGATTCGTAGAATTGCGCATTGAGGATTTTTCTCAGGATTTTCGTTTAAGCTTTTTGAATTCGTTGAATGATGGAACGTTTGGCTGTGCCTCAAAGTCCCAGTCTATATGTCCGAGTAAGTTTTAGCATAGTTTTGTAAGTAAGTCGTTTGTTTCTTAAAGGCTTGTTTGATTTTTAGTGTAGTAACGTTGAAAGGGCCTTTATCGTCTTATCAGATCTTGTCAATTAGCATGTTGATTCCAGCTTAGTCCCTTAATATGACAGACGTACATCCTTTAATATGGCACCTGATTTGTGAAAGCGAAAGATAGGTTCGGAGGGCTTTTCATGGATTTTTCTGTGTTGATTTTGATTCTATTTTCTTGCACCATTGTTCGACTAGGTAAAGGTGTTGCTGCATGTTAGATTGGAGTGTCATCACTCATCAGCAACGGTAAAAATAAAGGTGTCAGGATGTGTATGGATGTCAGCGGTTTGATATCCATAAAGGTCATGAATTAAAGCGCTATCTTGAGAATTTCGGATTTTATGGGAGGAAAGGGCAGTCAGAACATAGTTTTTCTACTATGATTTTTTTTTGGTTTTGAGGTCTATGGGGGGGACGAACCTGATGGACTATTTTTTTATGCCTTAGCCTGCTTATATCCCTAGACCCTCCATAGAAGAGGCTAGAAGACGAGACGCGACAGAATGACCAAAACATCCAAACTACTTTAATTTAATTATGAAGCAATTTCAAAACTGGGCTTCAATCCAATACTACAATAGTCAAAATAATTGATATTGTTTGATAGTAGACTTGTTATACTGAAGATGGCGTAATGCCAAGAAACGTCTAACACTGGTAATCCAGCGAGGATAGGTAGACCAAGACGATCGGTAAGGATCAAATTGCAAGTGCTAAGTATGCATGTTTGATATTTTGTATTGTTTATCTTTAAAAGGATTTTTTACACACTAAAAATTATAAAAACTACATAAAGGTATAAAGCTTTTGTACTAATTATTATATTACATACTTATAAATGATTGTTACATCGACTTTTTTCACATTTATTAAATGTTCCAAGATGGAAAAGATCATCGACGGAGGTAGTAGAGGCGGCCGTTCCTGCTGCGGGCGGCCACGGGTGCTGGGATGGTTCTGCAGGACGTCAAAGGTTGTCCTGTCGTTCCTGGAGGACAGGTGCAAACGGCAGTGTGGTCCCTCGGAGTACATTGCGCACCATGTCCGCACGAGCCGACCTCGCACGTTGATCTTCGAAAAATGATTACATATTAACTTAACGTTTGTAAAAATGGATCAAATGGATTGTTACTACAAAGAAAAATTAATGTAAGCTAGTTGTCCTCAACGTTTTATGGCGTTTATTTCAATCACCTGCACATATAGTTCACGCATGTCTTATCGTGCGAGCATTCCCTGTCGGATGAGCATTCGCCTCTCCTACAGGATGTCAAAGCATCTCCTAGGTATCCCGGAAGGCAGGTGCAGACCGGACGTTCGTTACCAGATCTGTCGTGGCCGGGAGTGCACTGGGCATTGGTACCGCATGGGTTCGGAATACACAGATCCGCTGGAGACAAAAATCCTTTTTTACTATCCAAATATGTTTCTGTTAAGTCTTAGTTTACATTTTTCAAATGGCCTGCAAGACACAAACGGGTCGCCGGTCATGTGTCTCGGGCAGCTGCAAACCGGCGTCGTCCTGTCTTTGACTCTGCAATTTGCGTTGACACCACACTGCCCTGCACACGGGTCGATGCATTTTCCAGCGCTGCAGGCCGGACGGCCCGAAGGGCAATCGTAATGACTTTCACATTCCAGGTTGCAAGATGTGTAAGGATCACCGAAAGTACCCTTAAGTGTAAGATTTATAAATAAAAAAATGTAAACTTAGAGAAGTTGTATACTGACCGGAGGGCAAGTGCAAACGGCCCTATGGTTTGATGCATCGCACCGTGCATTATTGGCGCAAGTTCCGGCTGTGCAGACGGGTGTGCATTTGTAATCAGTTCCGCATTTAGACTGAGGGCCGCAGTCGCTGTCCAAATCGCATTCGTGATGGCAACCGGAGAGAGGTTGTCCGACGTAGCCCGGCAAGCAGCTGCATGTAGGCACGTCGTTGACCACTTCGCAACGAGTATTGCGCCCGCATGGGCTTGGGTTGCAAAGTTCCTCTGCGAATTTGACGTTTTACCGTCTGTTGTTTTTACTAGAGTAAGGTGTTAGCTTACGTGGATGGAATGGACGGCAGTGAGTCAAAGGATCACCGGTGTAACCCGCAGGGCAGGTGCAGACCGGTACGTGGTTCCTTGGTGTGCACTGAGCGTTTGTACCGCATTGACCTGTGCATACGTCAACGCACCTGTAATCTCGGCATACCTTGTTTCCTCCGCAGTCGGCAGTTTCTGAAATTTGACAAATTTTCTTATATCAGATGTGTACCTTAGAATGAAAAATATTAACCATAAGGCATAGCAAATGTACACTAGTTTATCGTTCATTTTACCTTAACTCTGCTGCAGCCAACAGAATATTAATTTGGCTATCTGCTTGTGAAACTCACAAGAGGAGGCTAAGGACGTGGGATAGACGATTTTGATGAAACATTATTCGTCATACTAGATCGAAAAATATTAGACACATGGGCTCTAGGAGTCGAGAGAAAAAAAATTAAGCAATTTTTAAAATATGTTTTCTGCCTTCATTATGTATGGATTTTAAAGTTATTATATATAAGTAGATTTGCTTTTAATCTCGGATAAGAAAATAATATGAAGGATTGGAATAAATGAGGTGAAACATAAAAAGTTACAAAAACCAAAATTAGATTGGAGTAAGGAAAGTAAAAAATCGTTAAAAATCAGATTCATGTTAAGCACCTTGTAAAGCTGATACATACCAAATAGTCATAACTTCTCGGAATTTTATACACATTCAACGTTATGACAATTGAAAAGTTGGATTGCTCGTCTGTGCCAAATAACGTTTAGTTCTTCTGTCATTATAAGTGAGAAAAATCAAATAAGAAAAAACACCTCAACACCTTATTTTATATCTCCGATTGTAAATTATTTACAGAGGCCAAAGTTATAACATTGTTTGTAGTATGTAGGGTTCTAAGCCCCTGTAAAGTTTCCAGTAAGTCGGTAAAGTTGTTTCAAAGTCACCGCCATTTATATGATTTTCGATAAAAAAAAAATTGGAGGAGAAATTTTGAGGAAAAAAATTGTTTTTTGGATTTCCAAAAATTTGTATTCAGGGGTTTTTGGGGGTTCAAAAAACGAATATGAACTTCCGTTTGTTGCTACAAAAATATTTTAACTCGTTTTAAGAAATCGCTCGATCATCACGTCCAAAACGAACCATTGAAATACACAATTATGACCTATCTAGAACGTAGGCTAAAATATTTGTTTTAGCAAGAAAAAAAGGTGATTTATTTTTGTATCACAAATAACCACTGAATCTGATTTTTTTTGCTAAAAATATTTTTCTTTAACATTTTCGTTTTCCATGCAGCCGAATTATTTAGAAAATGGTGAACCAACACCTTTGAAACCTACGTTTCACACAAAACCTTACAGTAATTTTGAAACGCAATAAATGTACGTAATGGCTCTGATAGAATCTCTGTAAAAAATTGTAACAGGAGAAACAAAATCAAAAGTATGAGGAGTTTTGGTTGATTATCATTATTTTCCTAACCGATTCGTAAAATAGGATGAAAATTGGATGAACGATTTGGTGTAGATTGAACGCGTTGGCCCCTATGACAAGAAATTCATTTTTAAACTTAATGCCACTTTATGTCATATTTATAGATAAAGATATAATTTGTAGCTCGGTCGTTTCCAATGACTTTGGATGATTGATCCTTTCCTTTTTCGGCCTGTCTAACTTGTTTCGGTTATTTGCCATTTCTGATGGTGGCTTCTCTTGTCTTGCTTCACCATGTTTATATCTTTACTGATAGCGACATGCCAATGTGTCTGACAGAACAAAACTTATCCAAATTATTCCACGATATCAACACAAAATATCCACGATCTCCAAATAATAATAGTAAAGATGTCAAAAGTCAAATTCAAAGACATAGTGAAGCCAGACAAGAGAATCCACCATCAGAATAGCACGTATCCGAAACGAGTTAGACAGGACGAAAAAGGGTAGGATCCATCATCCAAACTCATAGTTTGGTCGTTTCCGATAATTTGGATAAGTGTGGTGTTTAGTGACCGTCAGGGCTCAATAAGATCGAAACGTTGGCTTAATAAAGAAATTGTTTTTCTAACACCTACGTCACACCAGACCACACGTCACGATTTCCAAATAATCATTGGCTAACAGTCACGATATCCAAATTATCGGAAACGACCAGACTATAGTTCATCACCTCGAAGACTCCAGGATGAAATCTCATTAAGAACAATTTGATTAATCAAGTATTTTTTAATTGTCGGGTGTTGAGATACTTGTGTAAAAGGTGTAATTATTCATTTGGGAATTGGCTATTTAATAAAATACGCCAGAAACAGTTTACAGTGGGTTCACTCACCTTGGCCATTTTAGCTAAGGTTGTAATACTGAGTAGCTTTTTGTGGGGTTTCAAGTATTGAATCGTCAACTTTCTTTTCCGATTTACTGGGATATTCAAAATTATTATTTATTTTGTTCTAATATGTTCATACTGAAAAGCTACCTGTTTTGCTGGTATTGATGAAGGTGAAGTCTTTACTTAAGTTTGACGAATTGAACTGTCTAACAAGCTGAATAAACTCACAGACGGAGGGAAGTGGCTGTTTTATTTCAATTTGTATGTTGAAAACAATCAGTACAAGAATTGGCTTTTTTTTATTGATAAGGAGTGTGATCCCACGCAATCGGTGACCTCGCAACCGTTTCTCTATAAGGAGGAACATAAAACTGGCAGAAGATTGGAGGCAAAGGTCTTCTGCGAACGAGTTTCTCCTCGACACATATACCACATGTGGGAGCGAGGCTATATCGATTCTATGAAATTTACCCGACACATTCGGACCTTCTTGTTATCTTTTCTATTTGAATTTATTCACCTGCGCATTCACCACGTTGGCAGTAAGTCAATGGATTGCCCCAATATCCTGGAAGGCAGACGCACACTGGTCGGTTGTCCCTTGGGAGGCATTGCGTGTTGGATCCACAGGGATTCGGGCGACAGATATCGTCGGCGTCTGAAAAACAAAAACAGACCAATTTTTCAAGAAATGTCTCATTAACTTTGGTTAAAGTATGGCACTTACGGATTTTCGTAACTAGGTATAAAACGCCAACAGCGAGAAGCGAAACGTCCCGCAACGTCTTTAAATTCTGGAAAAATAAACGTTCGGATCAGTATAAAAAATTTAGAAGGTTTTTTATTAGTTTATCGAACCGGCCCGTTGCATCGTAAACGTCACCCGTTTATAAATATCCTTGCCCATACACGGAAAACTGGATGAGGGTCTAGGCCGTGGCTCGACCCTGCCCTTGCCACCCACGCGCACTTAGTAAATAAATAATGCAAAACTATTATCATAAAAGATGCGTAATAGTAAGATCCTGCGAACAGGAAATAAAAAAAAATATATCCGGCCTTCGAAATCGGCGGAGGTGGATAATTTAGTACGGTTTAATTCTGAGCTTTGTTCTTTTTTTTGTGAGCCCGATTTATCCACTCCTTGATTGTAGCTTGACAATCAATTTTAGTCATGATATAAGACCTTCAGTTTGTTAAAGTTGTTTTAAATAAAAGTAATATACAAAATTATATAAAATATATATAATTTATATAAATGATGGATCAAGTCTATTTCATGAAATAATACTCGTATATCTGATCCATCACAAAAAACCTTACCATTTTGTTACAGATCATATAACATGGATACGTTTATAAATATATAAAAACAGTTTAATTTAAAGGAAAAACAGAAAATTATATTAAATAATTAACACAGTTTAAAACAAAAGTTTATTGCTTCATAAATCGTACGTTATGCAATCATTTGACTTTCCCACAGGCCCGCCCAAAAGAGAATAAATTCAATTTGAATATTAAATCTATTTTCACAATATGTTTCCAAAAGCCGTTTTGTTTGCCCACGTATTTGCTTTTTTTGGCCAGGAGAGAAAATTTTGCAACGGGGAAATTCGCGATTATACAATCACCCTGTAATTGAATTGTCGAATTTGCTAATTACGAATTCACCAGTTATTATCTAGGAAATCGCATTTTAAATTTGCTTGGATATTTATTTGATGTTTTAACCTAAATTCAACTTTAATATTTTCAATGCTAAGAATACAGTAAATGGGATTTATAAAAATTGTTTAAATTATCCCCGGCCCTGAGGATGATCTCAACAAAGATCGAAACGTGGCAGAAAAAAAGAAAATGTTTTTCTAAGCCTACGTCACACCAGACCGCATCTCAAGATCTCCGAATAATCATTGTTTTATGTGTTGTATTTTATGTTTTGTGTGTTATATGTATGTTATTAATATCGAATTTGATTTATGATATTAGCGTAGCTGCGGCTGAGTTTACATGTGGCTGTTCACCATGTAAACCATTTCTAAAAAGTTACGCTTATGTTTGTTTTGTTCTGTTTTTAAAATTTTATGATTGTTGAAATCGAAATTGTGTTGGTGTTCAAAATGGTGGACAGCCATTGCTGTTGGATGTTATTTGGGTTTTTGCATTCATAGATATGTTGTAGGAAAATTTGTACAATTGATTTTGTAAATTACATCAGAATTATTTGTTACTCGTGTGGGACCTTTAATTTTGGAAAAAAGGGTGCGAATAGTTTCATAGTTTTTGAAGGCTATGTTAATGTTATCATACGGAAGAAATGTGTTTAATTATCACGATCTCAAAATAATCATTAAATCTTATACATTTGAATCAATGTCATTTATCTTTCATAACAGTTTTTTACAGCATAATTTTATCAAATAGACAAAGCCAACGCTGTGTTAAATATTATATAATATAATATCGTTAAATGAAATGAAAACCACCCTACATATTGTACCAAGACGCCATTGTTTACTAATACAATTTTGAACTCTAAAAATATCATATTGTCATTTTAAAACAATCAACAAACAATCGACAAAAGCTTGATATCTCAACTTCAAAAAACTAGAAGAAATAGCATAGGAAAAATATATTAATTTTAAAATATGCAATTACGCGGTAATTTTTTAAAATCCAGTATTTAACCATTTAAACATAACACTATGTATTAATTCTCAATATATGCTAGCATTTCGACTCTTGTCATCCTCCTTTTATTGGTTACTGATGAAATTCTGTGCATTTCTTTATGTGATTCTCTTTGTCTATTTAATGATTTAATTAGATAATCTATGTACATAAAATCTGTACAAACATTATGCACTCTTAACCCTCCACCCATCTGTCTACCTCTTTATTTTTCTTTCTATCCTATCCATCGAATACCTTAATTTATTTAATGTGATTTAATTCTCTCTCTCTCTCTCTCTCTCTCTCTCTCTCTCTCTCTCTCTCTCATTCACTCACTCACTATCCCTTTCTTTGTCTGTCTGTTCCTCTCTCTCTCTCTCTCTCTTTGTCTTCTCTCTATTTGTCTGTAAGTCTGTTTCTCTCTCCTCTCTCCTTCTTTAACACACTCACTCAATTTCATTATTTCTCTTTCTCTCTCACTCTTTCTCACTCTCCCATGCGATTAATTCAAGCCATGTACTAAAAAACGTAAAAAGTTGAAAAAAATCGAATCATGTGACATGACTAAGCACGGGCCCGTCCCGATCATATAAGGGTATCTGTCGTTGCCTTAATGCCCTTGAAGTATTTTCAGTAACAATTACGCCAATTGACTAATACTTACAGCATAAAATATTTAAAATTAAGTGAAATAAAACAACAAAAATACAAAGGCCGATAAAGAATATAACGCAAATAAAATATGTAATAGACAGGGTGGGACCAATTTTAAACTATTTCTATTATGGAGAGACTTAAAAATTTTTTTTGGGTAATATTAAGCTCACTTATACATAACTTAGTTGGACAATACGATAATTTAAAATGTTGAAGTTTTTGTGTGTGTTCTGGTTCAAGACAGCGGAATGTCCAGGTCAGGATGGTCCAATTCTCGTTGTTTCTCTTAGTTTTGAGATCTCAACGTTGTTGCACATAAAGCAGAACGCTAAATACAAATATAGAAAAATACAAGGATGGTCGGACCAGAATGAAGTTGGTACATCCAGAGTGATACCAATCTACTTCTATGTTTACAAATAACATTCTAAGATTCTTCTGGGTTTCTCCAATCAAAAGTTCGTAACGTACAATTAATTTTTGTTTAAATAATAAAACATTCATGAAACATTAAGGTGAAAGCAATTAACAAAAGTGATTTCTGTCTCAATTATTGATTTTGCCTTTTAAATTTAAATTTTAATACTGTTACTAAAAGGAGATTTAGAAATTTTTTTAATATATATTTAGAGAAAATACATAGTGAGTTGGTTTGAATATACAAGTTTACCTGCATGTCGTTGAATGTTGACTGGTCAGGTTCTGATATCCGCTACCTGGTTTTATAGCTCGCCCTCTCCCGACGGCGAGCGTGGAGGTGCAAACAAGGACTTGGTTCATATTTAATATTTAATTGTTCCGATTTGGCAAGATTTTTTTCTTTTCAAGACCGGTTACTTTGCTGGAATTGCGGACCAGGATAGACTACCGGGGACAATTGAATCCACAATTAATGACACTTTGTCAATAATAAATTTTTCAGAACTATTTTTCATTTCGCTAAATAAATAGTTTAAAAACATGTTATATGTTCCATAATTTTGAAGGGTTGATGATAGACTCAATAAACATTCAGTTGTTCATTCAGATCTTATTCATTAATGATTTTCATGACTAAGTATAAAATCTGATCATCTAAACTGCGAAAATGTTAATTTATAAATTTATCATGAGCCTCAAGGATAAAAAACGTAATGGGACTTAATGACTTGAAAAGGAATATAAAAATTAAAATTTGCTTATGTATTGCGTTTTGTTCATTAAACGGAAAAGATGAAAGATTCACACCTATTTTATTAGAAGAGAAACAGAAAAACTACATTAAAGATAATCAAAAAGCCTAATAATTAACTGTCATAATAATAGTGATTAACAACACATATAGGGGGCGTCGGTGGCCGCAACGGTTTAGGCGTTGACACGGCGCCCATCACTGTAACGTAAAGGTCCCGGGTTCGAATCCAGTGGCCCTGCATTCGAACCCGACCCACTTACAAATTTTCGCTTTTTTTCAAAAACACCGGCACCCTGAGGGTTGAAAGAATCTCTGCTGTTGCGAACCCTCGTTCAAACAAATTCTATGAAACGCAATGTTAATCTGGAATTTAACTCAAGAAAATTATTCGGTTTTTGAAACTGTTGGAATATAAATTAAGTGAAGTATACTGCAATTCTAGTAGTGGAAAAATAAAAAAACTGCTGTTCACCGATTATTACGATTATTATTTATTTATATACAAGCTCAAATTAATTAATTGTGTTTGGAACAATGAATACGAAATTAAAAATTGGGACCTTGTCAAGGTCTCAAATGAAATTTGAGGGGCAGAAAAAATCTGTCCAACAGCACCGGTTACGAAGTTGCCGGTGAAATATGGCTAATTTTGTACCAACTTAAGCAAGTAGTATACAGCAGAATGGAAGATAAATGGCTAAAGGTTCACGTCGGAACGATAGGAAATGAGCAAGCGTATAGTAAGGCAAAGGCACTTCGGGGTGACTCCTTCCCTGTGGTTTATAAATTACCGCTGACTTACATCGAAGAACTCACTAGGAGACGATGAAATCCTGGTAAACTATTTAAGATAATAGTACTACCGAAATTTTTCCTTAGTGAGAGGGAGGTTTGAATCTAGCCTGTTAAAAAAACTCCGTCTATAATGGTGACCAAGCCACGATTAAATGATAAGAAGGTACATCAGCTTCACAAACAACGCCTTAAAGTATTGTCAATGCTGTTCAATGCGGCCTCCTCATGTTCTCAGCCGTCAACTTCATACGTGGAAATCATGTGCCACCGACAAGTGAAAAACATGATATTGTGGGGCCGCCAGGAGTAATTACTCTAATTCCTCCAACCCCTTTTGCTCCATTGGCTATAAATGAAGCAGACGAGATGGTTGTCTCAGCCCCTATCACGCCTTTGTAAGACACTGCCTATTTATTCGAAAAATGCATATAATTATGCAAGAACCTTGAACCTTAATAGTATGTACTGAATTCTTGTGTAACTTAAGATCAAAGTTGTAGGTTTAAATTGCATCGTCTGAAAACTACAGAAAGCTCGCTGAATCCCTAAAAAATAGAAATACTGACTACCATTAATATTAGCTGAAGAAAGACTCAACCTACAGAATGGCGTTCGGATTTTTACGCCACTCTACACCACCAACCCTCATCATGTAGGAGGGAGCTGTAGGAGGAAACTAAGCCTTTCAGCAAGGAAAGTGACAAATGATCAGCATCCGGTGAGTAGAAAGGCTCTGCCTCTGTTCTTCGTTGATTTGTCTTCTCAGCCCAATAATGCAAATATTAAACACTTTAAACACGCTCCTTTACACTAAAATTAGAGTAGGGAACCTCGTATTAGAAAAGAAATGGTTCAGTGCAAACGATGTCATTACGGTCATGGGTCAGTCAAGGCCTACTGCCATCCTGTCATGATGAGCCTGACTGCGAGAAATGTGTGGGTGCTCATTTCACTGAAAATTGCTCTAAAGAGAGAATCACCCGTCCTATTGGTCACCTTCCCGTAATGTGTAAAATTCTCTCAACGTCTATTAACTTCTTTTAAAACGATATATATATAGTGATGATATTTCTATCGTTCAGAAACAATTCTCTACACTTTTGTTGACGATACAGCAATCCTTTCGCAACATAAAGGCACAGTCACTCCACATGTTTGTTTGGTCCAAAAAGTGAAGAAGTACACGAAGAGTCAATACATTAACTTAACATCTCGCGAACGTTAGTTAGGACTTCACCTGGACAAATTACTTACTTCGAATCCGCATACAAGACTAAAACGAAACGAATTAAACCATACGTTATAAACTGTTATCACCACTACTCGGCAGACGATGCAAACTTCAACTTACTATAAAAGTCATTCAATTAATTAAGGTTTTTAGTTGAGATAAAAAAGTCAGTGCCACGGGATTCGAACCCACGACCTTCGGCTTGATACGCCGCTACTCTACCACTTGGCTAACGTGACCTCGATCCGCTCGCGCACTAACTTCCCATCTCACATGAACTACTATAAAGGGTTGATATTCACTATGGTCCTCAATCCTATGTGAACATATCTGGGGTCAAACAATGATTCCAACATCCAACGCAGCCAAAGATTCCAATCAAAAGTCCTAAGATAAATGGTTAACCCTCTTTTTTATGTATCAAACCTCACCCTGCAACGAGACCTTTCTCCAAAAATTCCAAATTCTGCAAATATTACAATAAATTCCATCGATCCCTTTCCACACATCCCAATGACTTGGTCAGCTTAGTTCCACTACCATCCAGATAATCTCTTCTCTCGACTGAAACGCCGATGGTACCATGATGCCATACATTTCTTGAATAGGAGGCTCACCGTCAAAAAATAAATATATATTTACATTTTAAAACTTTAATAACTTTTACTATTATCTGGCAAACGACTACCTTAATATTTTCCAAATATTTAATCAGCTAGCACATTCTATTAGTTTGGATATGTCTTTAGATAGTGCTAAGTATTTATTGTTGTTGATGAAACGTTCTTGTTTAGTATTGTAGTGTTAAACGAATCGCTGTGACAATTTTTAGGCCAGGACCATGAATTACCGACATTTCGTGTGAAGGATTCCACATTTTTCTTTATAGTAATAGTATAATATGTTTTATAGAAGATTTCACTCATGTTTTTAATAATAATTTAATTTCAATTTTTTTTAATATATCTAAAGCAAGGGAAACTGTAAATATGTTACAAGATTTTTCAATCTTCTCTTTGTGAGATCAAATATCAGATAAATTGAACAAAATTGATCGTTACCATAAATGATTGATTCGCAAGTCAACAAAGTTCTGCAGACACGCCCAGTGAATTTGATTTCATCCTTTTTTTCAATATCGTGAGAACGACACCCGGATCATCCTGACGTTGGCGGCTGCCAAGGACTTCTGAAGCTTCGCGCGGCCCACATTTCCCATCCAATCACAACAAAATTTATTGAAGGTATTTATATTATTTCAAAAACAATTAAACCCTAGCAAGTGTAGCATTCTACGTTTTAAATTACTTGTAAATCATCATACATAAATTGTCATATATGATTACAATAAATAAAAGAAAAAATAGTAATATCAGTCTGTCTGTATAATTTATTCTTTCTCACACTTTCTTTTTTTCTCCCTATACCTATATTTTTTCTTTTTCGCTTTATCGTTCTGTTTTATTCTTATTCATTTATTCTTATTTGTATCTCCCCCACCCTCTTTTTGTCTCTTTATCCAAGCTTTGTCTCTCTTTCTCTAACTATTTCTGTTTCTTTTTCTCGACCTATCTTTCTATATCTCAGTCTGAATTTTTCTTGAAGCTTCTATAATCTCTACATAGAAGGGAGAAAGAGAAAGAGAAAGAGAAAGAGAAAGAGAAAGAGAAAGAGAAATCCCACCAGTTTTGTCACGTATCTCTGCCTACACAATCTCTTTCTCTATACCTTCACTATCTCTCTCTCTCTTTTCTTCTCTTCTATTCTGTTATATATTTCATTCATCTGTTTCTTTATTTTTTACGTTGTCTTTTTCTGTATTCTCATACTCTTCTTGGTCACTTCAACTGCATATTTGTCTCGTTACCTCGTTTTTTGTCGCACTCTTTTTTTTATTATCCCCCTGTTTATTACTCTCACTCTCTTTTAACTTAACTGTAAATACAACTGTCAGTAATTAACCACAAATTTGTTGAACTTTTTAAGGATGATCTATCCCTAAAGTTTATTTCAATTGCTATCCAATTAGGTTGATCAATTAATAAATATTAAAAAAAAACGTTTTGAGGATACTTTAAAAAGAAATTTGTGCCTTGTTTGGGGGGAGGAATGTATTGATAAACGTATGAGAAATTATGAGCAGATTACCTGTCAGTGTTTGTATCGAATTTTTAAGTTTGGTTCGTAGATTAGAAAATTTTAAGCGGAAAATTTTGGTTGGAACGACTTTTTAAAAAAGCCGTACACACTGGCGCTTATTTGTCATGGATTTGTAAAAAATATCGAAAGTGCTTACACAATAATTATTCAGCAATCGATTTAAGTTTCATTTAGTGTTTAGTTAAGTTACGTTATCGAGATATTATGTATAATAAATCCAAGGGGTCCTCTTATTGGGAGCGCATGCCTCTCCAATCTTAAAGTCACATCTACATAAAATTTCTCGTCAAATGAAACCCTATTGAGGCGCAAGGGTATTTACGTAAAGGGACAGAGGATTGAAGAACAGTC